CATTAAGTAGTACCTCGACCCACTAGTAACACCACGACCATATCTATAGTATTATCACGACCCACTACTTTTACTTTTTAATTTTACTTGTAGTGTTTACAAACTCCCCAGGCTACCTGAGGTGCCGCACTGCAAGTATCAGTCTGGTGGGCCTCTTTTGGACGTTATCAATCAACCTACAGTCTCTTGCATATATCGAGGACCAGACGGGATGACAGTACTTCAAGCAAGGAAACAAGTGCACTTCACTTATGAAGGATGTTATGAAGGATGTTATGAAGGACGGACCATCTAGGTACGTGAACAATCCCCGTACAAGTCATAATAATTTATTTTACTTGATTTACTTTCTTCTCACAATGGTTCGAGAACTTCACTTTGTCAACATACACACCCTCAAATTTGTTTACAATACTTTCTCCATACTTTCTTTACAAGTTTCAACATCACAAGAGAATACGGGTTTGATTCATATAAAGCGTGAAAACGGAGTTCAGAGTAATTTCGTCTCGGTATATTCCAACGTAATACGAATTACACGCATAATACTGTATTAAGTTGAGAATCTTGCTAGGAATTATTATGCAACAAGGATAGTTGATTTTTTGAGTAAGTCTACAGCTTTTAATGTTTATTCGTGTGTTTCTTTTCTGCATCACATTTACAGTGTACAATATTAATATTTGAAGTTATTATATTGGTATAGTTCACCATAAGACTTTTGTACAAATTTTCTTTCAAATAAATAACTACGTAAGGGTTCACTAAATAAATAAATACAAATAAACAAATATATAAATAAATAAATAAATAAATAAATAAATAAATGTATGTATGTATGTAACTGACAGTCCAAGCGGCTAAAGAGCCGATCAGTGGTGAAAAACTTATTTGTTTAACTAGAAGTTGGTTGATTGATCTACTGTATAGACATTCAGTACTTAAAATAGAAGAGTAATCTTTATTAATCAAGAGACGAATAGCACTTGAATAAATACAAATTACATAACAAGAACTACTGTATGTTAGAACATCGCCATTTGTTGCAACTCAAATTATGAAAGTAAAAATAAATAAATAAATAAATAAATAACACACGCCGTCCGCAAAACAGTAGCTGCTCCCATTACACATTATTTTCTGATAGAGAAAATAGGTTGTGTTGGTGACGCGAGTTATTCTCCTGTGTACGATCGTGGCTAAGTTTCAGTGAGATTATGACGTTAATTAAACCATATACCTGTACTATTTACTTAAACTAATCTGCATATACAATAAAACGAAGGTAATCATTTCTTTATTCAGACGCTATGTATGTGAATTTACAAAATTATCTTTTTTACTTAATTCAGAATGTCACATTACTTACCTAATATATTTTTCAATTTTTACTAAAAGTCGCCAAGTTTTTAGGAAACTTTACTTATAATTTCTTAGTCTAGAATAATTCCGTAAGTTCTATTTTCTTTTACGTTTTCCCATTGAATATTCACCAATTACTTTCTCGCTAACATATTTCTAGAGGTCACAGCCTCAGGTTAAAGAAGACACAAGTACGGAAAATAAGGGTTAACTTTTTTTTTTGCATTAACCTGCAAGAGAATGTTTTGTTTTTTGTTTTATCCTCTTCGCCACTGATCGGCCCGTTAGCCGCTTGGGCGATCGGTCACGTCTCTGTCACGCACTGTTGGCAAGTACTGGCCATGCACCGGTTCCTTAATGTACCTGAACCAGGCTCCAGTGTTGGTGAAGTCTGGTCTTGAAAGAAAACACACTAGGTGCCGTCACAACACTTTCTGGCAGATTGTTCCAAGAGTTCACAACTCTCACTCCGAAAAAGTTTGCTCTCACAGTTTTCTAGACTTGCGGCTTCTTCAATCTTGAGCTGTGACCCCTTGTGGGGCGAGCGTCCGCCAGCTCCAAGTAAGGACACTCGACTGAGTAGTGCCCCTTGAGATGCTTATACTCCTCAATTAGGTCGCCCCTTGCCCGTCTGTTGTGAGCTCAATTACGAACCAAACTTGACCATCACAGGCGCAGATTCAGGTACATTTTGGAGCCAGTACATACTTGCCAACAGCGATATGACTGACCGCCAACCCGGTTGGTGGTGAAGAGGATAAAGAAAATTATTACACAATGTGTTAAATTGATTAATCTTGTTAGAAGTTAATAAGCAGCACGGCTCGTTGATTTTTCTTGTAGTTTTCAAATCTTAATGTTTATTCATTTGTCTATTTTTTCATCATACTGTATTTTTTAGTGTATTAATATTTAAAATGATTATTAGGGTAGTCCTCCATAAAATTTCTGCCTACAAATTTTCTTTCAACCAGCATTATTGGTAAAGGGGATACTAAATCAAACAAACATTGCGAAATGTTGTTAACGTAACAAAGGACACCAAATGTTATATATATATATATATATATATATATATATATATATATATATATATATATATATATATATATATATATATATATATATATATATGCAAGTAAATCACTGTAGGTGTGCGTGATCTAGGTATATGCTGATAACCACAAGGAAACAAGAAAACGCGAAGTTCCCAAGCGCTTTCGTGTAATTCACATCTTCAGGGGTGCCGATCGCTTGAGCGACCGGTCACGTCTCTGTTACTTTTATTTTTCTTTTATCCTCTTTTATGCGAGATAAGATGAACCAACTTAATCTACCTAACCTTATCGGTCGCCTAATTAAAGGCGATTAACAAGCCGGTCAGTAGCGAAAAGGATAAAGTAAAGTAGAAGCGTTGGTGTGTAATATGAGATTGTCACTGGAAATGCTTGTACTGTATATGTAATGAAGCAAAATGAGGTTGCGGGTGTTAGGACAAAAAAAGTCGGAAGAACAAAAATATGAAAAATGCAGATCTTCAACCTTGCTTTCGATTTTCTCGAGCCTCGAGATAAGGCTGTCTTCAATAAAATAAGCCGAATCTAGGTACTTTCCCTTATCCCTTTATATATCATCAATCATATCGATCAATAAACGTCACGTTGTCCCTCGATGGCCGAGAATTGAATGATTTTCCCCCCAAGAGACGTGGCGAATCCATTTGTTGTTACTTAAAGGTAACCCGATGCTCGGGATTCCTCTTTGGAATTACTGCCCCAAATGATAAAAAGGTCAAATGCAGTATACTGTAGTTGCGAAAAAATACCTAGGTAAAGCTGGCATTTTGATAAGTGTGAAAAATATGCCGTATACAAATGTTAATTAGGCGAATTTTCATGGTCGATGAAATTTGGGAGGATAATTGGACCAGGATATTTCCAGTCAGAAATTGCTTGTTTGCCTTCGACATCATGTTTAACCCTTTAGTGGGCAGGGGCAGTGGCGGCTCGTGAAAAATAAAATGGAGGGACTGCAAGCCTCACACAACAGTAGGATACACAAATTTGACCTACCTCAGGTATGAGTTGTAGTTGATGTCCACGAATTCCCAGGGCATGGTAGTAGTGTTGGTGGTGATGGACCAGTATTAATTGAAAATAAAGCCGGCGTGTCTGCTCTTCGATGTAGCAAAATTGTTTATTACTATTTCATTAAAATCCTTTATTTCTGTTATCGTCACAACCACAGAGCCATTCACATTTCTGATAAACACTGATGTTAAACTGGCGTGTATATTCTTTGTTCCTGCTTGTACTGTTCTGTTGAATGGATAAAACTGGTGTAGGTCTTCCTCTTGCTTTGATTTCACTCTTTTCATTTAATGTCAGCTGGAAAAAGATGATGTTTTGCAAATACTTCACTCGATTTTCCATCGTCAAAGGGTAATTAAAGAAAGCACGATTTAACCACACCGTCCACACGTTGTACGAGACTGAGCTGCTTCAAGTGTGGCGGCGGTGGCGCCAATTAATAACAGACATGAATCGTACAGCATTGACAGCAACTATGAAAGTAACTTAAATTTTGGTCTGATTTTAATGAAAATTCACTTAGCAACGCATTGAAAATAATTAAATAACATATAAAATGATATATTTGTTGGTAGTGTATTATTCAGCTGTCTCTCTAAAGGAATCATACGCCTGGCAGTGAGTGTCTGGGGGGACTGCAGCTCTGCAACCCTATGCACGAGCCGCCACTGGGCAGGGGATCACCTCAGATGAATAAAATCGTTTGACGTTAGCCAGAATAAAATACCGTAGGGATACTTTGCCAGTTTGCCCTCTAAAGGATTAATCGAGATAGGTTCTAATATTTCGCGACCTATGCCAAAACACCTGTCAAACATTCGATAATGCTCACCTCGTTTACTGCTTACCTCTCGATACACATACAGAGTCGTGGTACCATGCAAAAATGTCATGCCCTTAGTACAACAATGACGCTCGATTGCACGAAATTCTGGAAAACAAGTGTCCGCCTGTTGATATGTTTACCTGCAACACCAGTGGTTAATGTATGCTAAATATGAGTGACATCATATTTTACATCCTTACTTGCGAAAAATTATATAATAAATCAGATAAAAATAAAACAATTAGTTACATAACAATGTTACAACGATTAATTTGATAATAATGTTTTCATGCCATGGCGCAGTATGATGTTCCCTTCTTCATTCTGAGTTCTCTGCCATCTGTTGGCCGCATCCTCAACTTATCAATGTTGACTTCGTCTGATCGCTACGTTATAGCCAAAACGAATGTTCTCCTCATTCAGACATTTATTACATCTCATATGTTTTGTTGTAGCATAATATATATTTTTTTATTCCTTTATGAATAAAAAAGGCGAGATGAAATCCACTAAATATACAAAACAAAGTCGGGAAACATCAGGTTGCCAAGCCAATTCCACTCATTCGAACGCAATTTGAGAGTTTTTTGTAAACACATCTTCGTTGGTGACTGGACAGTGAATCAAGCAATTTTGGAGACTTTTATGTACTGGTAAGATATGAGGGGTGTTGTTAAGTGTTATTGGGAAGTGGCAGAGGGCGGTGAGCAGTAGTTTGTGGTCGGGTGGGCTGTGGGCGGACGCGGGAAGGGCGTGTCGTGCAGAGATGGGAGGAGGGTCACGTCAAGGTCTGTAAACAAAGTGCGGCCAACCCTCTCACCACTCCCCACGCCAACAAGGCATTTACACAACACTACCCCGGCCCTGGTGGTGAGGGTGCTACACGTGTACCTGACAGGTGTGTTGACTCATCTCACCAATACTTGAGTGGAGTTAATAACCGGTATCCATAGTAATTGAGTACAAGTCATGAGTGGTGGTGGTGAGCCTAACAGTGGAGGGAAGTACTTTAGAGTGCCAAGTGTGAAGTGATATTTTTGTTTCCAAAGGAAATTATGGAGAAGTGGATTTTCATGGATTAAATTGTTTGGTACTTGTTAAATCCAGTAAATTTAATTGAAAGTGGACCCTATTGGTATTATTGTTTATTAGGGACAGTTTACACACAAAATGTTGAAAGTGAAGCCTTTATTATTTAAGGACACAGCATAGCCAATTGACCACTGTTTATATACATTTATTAGGGGGAATTTTCTACACACCACTTTCAAGTGCAGCTATTTATTAGTTAACTTAAATGGCATGGACACATTAATAGATCATTATATTTACATTACTAGACAATGACTCGGACACAAACATGAAATGGATACACTTCCCACCGTAAGTAACTCACCCTATGGACCTGTGTGACCTGAGGGAAGCCAAGCGGCTGGGGAATGTCTGTAGGTGCTGCTGAAGAGAGTGGTGCTGAACTCTGTCTCCTGTGGGAGACTCTGCTAGCTGGGGACATGGTGCTGGGTAGGGAAGTCTCCCTCCCGACCTCGACTAGTGACGAGTGTGGCTCCGTCTTCCTCTGAGTACTTTCTCTCCCTGTCTGTCGTTGGGAAGGAGCTGTCGGCCCCTTTTATTGGCGGTGGCAAGCCGGCAGTTGTCGTCACTAATTAACACAAATCTGAGTGTGTTGAGACAGCTGTGAGACCTCTGGTTCCCTTTGTGACCATGACCTCCTTTGGGTCAGGTCTTAACCTAACCTTAATTACTGTAGGGTGTCAACTTACGTGGGTGAACACGTGCTCCTCTACTCACTGTTATTTGTGTTGTTCTTCTCTGGGCTGTAAGCTATGGTCTGATAAACAATCATTGCAAGTCAATGATAACAGATGAACATTTTAGAGATGGTTTTCATCCTCCACAAGTACAGATAACTTGTGGTTCAATGCCAAACATGACGTGATAAGGACGCCATTGAAAAACAATATGGCTTCTCCCTCAGTCTCCTGTGCTGGTGCAACCCCTGCTGTTCAGCCGTATCCCACACTGAGAGCACCCCTCCCATAAACAGAAAAGCGGGAACAGTGGACCGGCCCTATCAACCACCCAAGTTCCTCGCACTACTCTCTTGGGCTGACAGATGCTTCTTTAAGGGTGTAATTTGGGTCTGGATCACTGCTTGATATTTATTAAAATGGAAAAACTGTTCCCATTACTACGCAACCTGCGACAAAAGACTGTGTGGGGTGAGATTTCCATTCATGGCCAAGAGTACCAGAGGGATAAGTATACGAACATACAATTGACTTCTTAACCAATGCTACTCGTAAGGTATTGGTAAAGAATCAAAACCCATAATATGGGATTTGATTCCAACAATACAGAAGGTTCCCGACTTACAAACGCCCGCCGATACGAATGGGTTAAACTTGAAATTTACAGTATTTTATTTACCCGATGATGTATTTTTTACTTTCATTTACTGTATTTTATCATTCTATTTCTTCTTTTGTCTTAAATTAAGTAATTTTAGATGTATATAAGGACTTAGGTTTGATATAGTGAGATTTTAAGCATTGTTTTGTAAGTACGGTATGCATATAGCATGTGTTCTGACTTGCGTACAAATTTGACTTACGAACGTCCTCAGGAATGGAACCCATTCGTAACCTGGGGACCCCCTGTATGATCGTCATCATTTATTATGTAAGTTGAATAGGTTTAAGAACATATTGCACGTTAAGAAAAATTATATACCTGTATGGGATTTGCGCAGGTCATAGACTCACGACTCGGAATAGTGAAGGCTAAAAACCCCCAGACATTTGAGCCTATTTTTAAGGTACTAACACCCTTCATTTGAGGGTACAGTATGTCTTTTATCGACTCGTTAAGTGAGACCGGAATTAGAATTTACTATTTGTTTACGATCGGAGGACAACATACGCCAACGGGCCAGAATTGTTGGCTGAACATTTACGGTAAATATTAAATTTCTTTGCATACAAAGCACGTAGAGACTTGATTTAAGTTTCACATGAACAGTTTTTTGCCGTGTTTTTGTCCCACAATTCCCTCATGCCCTGCTCACTACAGGTGGTTTATGATTGTAGATAGAGAAAAAATGTTTATAGCTAATTAAAATAAAAAGTTGTAATGATTTTACTAGTTAATATACTCCAAAGAACAACTGTAGAAAATTTGAACAAAATATATAAATACATTTGAGTGCTAACTGTCTGCTCCACCTTTATCAGAATTAGTATTCTATTGTAGTCCTTTACTATCTTGGCAGGTGGGGCATCTTCTGATTTCTTTTAAAACAGGAAACCCAAACCAACCTAACTTACCTCATTATTTCTAACTTTGATAAAATATATTCTAAGGCCAATAGGTGAACCTTGGTTGGTTAGTTTTGTCTTATAAGATAGTTTGTAAAATTAAAAGAATAGATATTAAAAAGTGAGTAAAGTCCATTATATAAGAAAACTCTGTTTAACAATGTTTCTTCAGTGAAGTTTATTGATAATACAGGTAATAATATATACTGTGTCATCTTATGAGTCAAAATAAAAAATGCTGATCTTCATAATTGCCTGGTTTTAATTCATTCTCCAAAACATAGTTTTCTTAAATATTTTATAAATGTTTTTGATCTTTTTTGAAATTTCAAGAGTAACAGTATGGTACATCTGCTGTGTGATAGTGGACACTGTCACTTGACACCTGATTATTTCCAACACAGTAACAGATATGAAATTAGGTTAGCTAATTATTGTGATCTGCCATCTAACATAAGCTAACAAAGAGTCCACAATTACTGTACACAAGCTATCGTCTGTAATTTACAATGTAATTTTCACTTAACATTAGAAATACGTACTTTACTAAAAAAAAAAAATAGAAAATTAATATCTATAAATGAGAATTTATAACTTTTCATCTGTAGGAGAAATTTATATAAAATAACTTATTTAATCAGGCAATTCCATGTTTATTGGAAACTTTCCAAGTATGTCTGATAGTTTTTACCAGAATGGGATATCTCAGCTGGGTTATTGTAAGCCTTGTATGAAGACTGGTATGGGTGATGGAGGTGCCTGGGAATCACATTGTTTGTCTGGGTGTAACTTAGGTCCTGCTCACCAGGATAGTCTCACATATGTTCCTGAAGAATCTCAGTTGTAGGCAAGGATTAGAAATATATTTGGTCAATCTATATGACCATATGAAGGCCCAGGCACAAGGCATTCATTTGTAACATTGAAACCTTTTTTTTCTCATTATTAATTACATTTGTTTATTCCAGATTAGTGAAAGTCAAGAAACACAAAATGGGGGGCAGTGACATGCAGTTCTGCCTTCGATGGAATAACTTTGGCACCACCATGACAGCAGCTCTCCATTCTCTACATGAGGGTGGAGATTTTGTTGATGTCACTCTGGCTGCTGATGGAACACAGTTGAAGGCACACAAGCTGATTCTTTCTGCTTGTAGTCCTTACTTTAGAGATATATTAAAGGTTTGACAGCTTATGAATTAGTTAGTGGCTTATTCATAATTCTGTAGTAAGAGTTTTTATAGTATTACAAGTATATACTGTATATAAAACTAAGGATGTACAGTACTGTATCCTTAATTCACACAAGAAATTTTTCAAAAATATTGCATAATTTTTGGGGGAAAATGTGAACTATTATTTTATTTTTTCCAGTGAACTAGGGAGATTCTTTAGTAAATGTAAATTACTGTATACTACATACACAGATCAAAACTTAACTTGTGAGAGCATTGTTATTTAAATAATAGGTACTGTACATGTACAAACTAATAGATGCTATCAGTAACAAAAATGAAGTGAAGGACATGATGGTGTAGTGGTGAACCAGGCACTGGCAACTACACAGCCACATGCTAGCTAGTTGTTTGGTGATGATAAGCCACTTGTCCCAGAGTGAGGGACCTTTAATATCTTCAAGTAATCATTTAAAAACCAGTCTCCACGAAATAGTATATAATACTATGCTACAGCTATTACTTCTATAGTGTGGCAAGATGAATGTATTATAGTGGACAAGGCATTTGAAGTGTGTGGTGGCAGTGGTGAGCCTCTTGTCCCATGATGAGGGATTTGACATCTCCCATATGTTAGTTGCAACCTAATCTACATGTATACTACATCATGTGCACTGCAGCCTAAGAATTTTTACTACTTACCAACACTACTGTATAATGATTGGGCAACATTAATATGATCACCATCACCACCAGGTCAACTTGCCGTGATCATTATCATCATTGGGCCATCTCCAGAACAATTGAACCCATCCCTCCACTGCTCAGCTCCTCACGTTTCACCTCACATTACTTACCCCACTCAACTGTACTTTTGCTGATGCTTCAGCCCTGGTATTTCCCATTTCAAGCTATTTAATTTCTGATTAACTAATGCTACATTTGTTAATGCACACACCATCTACAGTATACATCTTCACCTATGTTATGAACATTTACAGTACTGTACAGTACTACTATGGTTTATATTGTGCATATTCAATTGCACAGTGTTTTTTATTTACCGTATGCAAATTGATTAATTAAAGTTTTATTCTTCAGATGATGCTAAAGGAGGACTGTAATACTTTACTGAATACAGTACTGTATAATGGGTACAAATTCCCACTGTGGATGGCTTTGTCCATGCCCAGAATTGAACACTATTTTCAATGCAACCTTGTAACTAAATTGGAATTTACTCAAATAAAAGTAAACTTTACTCTAATTTTGTTGTGTACAGTAATCTCATCACCTTTACAGAACAATCCATGTCAACACCCAGTGATAATCCTCCGAGAGGTGCCTGTTGAGGACTTAGAAGCCGTATTAGCATTTATGTACGAGGGGCAAGTTAATGTCTCACAAACTCGGCTCCACACATTCATGAAGTTAGCAGAGGCACTACAGGTGCGCGGTCTAACAGACACACAGAACACCAGAGCACGAATGGAGAAGGTTTGGAAACTTTATTTTTTATTTTTGTTAGATCCTATACAACTGACATTTCCATCTCTAGCAAATGCTAATGAGTTTTTAAGTTTATATACAGTAAATACTGTACAGTTTAAGAAAATCTCCGATACTTAGATTTAATAATACCACAACACTACAGTTGAATTAATAAGCAAATTTGATCCACAGTGGTACTGTATATCAGTACTGTGCATGAGAAAATAACATTGGGAACATGACAGACCAAATTAAGCAAGAAAAATTACTCAATTAAAAGACCATCATACACAGTTAATGTATTATTCGTTAACCTGAAGGTACCAGTTCTACAGCCAAGTTTGGGAAGAGCTTTAACTGATTCAGAGAATTATTTATTGACTGTGAAAGAGATATTTTTTGCATTTCCTTAAACTTGTAGAACTTTTCTATCTTGCTGTGTAAAGCAAGGAAGTGTCTGGGAGTTGTATGCTGATGACTTCGTACTGGTCGCAGATAGTATTGAAGAAGCATTGGAGAAATTCAAGGAATGGAATAGTGTGAATTTGGCAAAAACTAAAATATTGATTAGTGGTGCAGGTGAGGGACCCATGGTGAAAATTGGAAAATGGCCATGTGGCAGCTACTCAATAATGTGCAGTGAGAGTGATGAGTGGGGACATACGAGGAGCAGTTGTGTAAATGGCAGACTGCAGGATCCTGCTGCCTGTAAGTGTACTGTACTGTATGTGCAGGTAAAAATGTGGCCTAAGCAATGCTGGAGAAACTGAATATTGGGGATATATCTCTGGACTGTCAATGAGTTATGCTACTTGGGTGACATGATTAATGCTAGAGTTGGTACTGAAGCTAGCTGGGAGGAAGTTTAGATAGTTGGTGCCTTTATTAATGGCAAGATGTATACAATTGGTGTTAAAAGTGTGATGCTGTATGTTAGTGAAACTTATGCAGTTAAAAAAACGATATGTTGAATGAGGTGAAATGAGAATAATGAGGTGGATGTGTAAAATGACACGGAGAGATGGGAAACTCTATTCAGAGCTAAGACGGTGGCTGTCGAGATAGCTTGGACGTGTGGAGAAAATGGAGGATACCAATTGGGACAAGAGGTGCTGGAGTCTGGATGTGGAGGAGAGGAGAGCCAAGAATGATTTGGGGAAAGGTTGTAAGAAATAACCTTATTGTTAACGCTCATAGGAGCGTTATTGGTTTGTTGCTGGAGAAATAAACCCTCAACGTTGACGCGTACCATATAATTCGGTCAAAACCTGTTAAAGAACAATTCACATACTGTATAACAAATGCTGTCATCTCAGGACACATAGAATGAATAATACAATCAATATACAGTACATAGCCTGTTAACATCTTAAGTATAACTCACATGTTACATCTGTTGATACATCAGGAGACAAGTTGTATAATATGATCAAATTACAGTACATAAATATACTTATTAAAGTTATTTAGAGTTTATATTTACGTTTTAGGGTCTTGGGTTAGACCAGCGTGTTGTTTCTTCTGCAAGAATTGGTAGACGACTGAGTAATCGCCATCCAATCGCCGCCCTAGACGAGGGCATCTGTTTTATATTAGACAACCCACAAACACGTTGTCAGTGGTAACATCTCAACCTCTCTCTCTCTCTCTCTCATGTTTATTTTACTGTGGCGGTAACACTTATAGTTAAGAACCTGATAAGAGAGGCTGCAAAAGACCATACAGCATGGAGAGCTGCCATCAAGTAATCATGGCTAACCCATGATAATGATGGTGGTAGAATGGGTAAAGAGAGATTTATGGACATGCTGTGACCATGTGAGAAGGATGAAGGAGAGGATAGTAATGAGTGTGTGTTGGAGCAATGTAGCAGTACATTGGGTAGAGGGAAACTGCCTACGTTGTGGAAGGAAAAGGTGGAACCATACACTAACACGGCAAAGGAAGTACTATGTACAGTAGTGATAAGGTGATCAGGAGATTCTGTTGTTGTGGCTAGTCCCTCAGAGGGAGCGAGCTTTTTGGGGGAGCAAGGCATCACAAATAAGAACATCTCGAAAGTCAGAAAACTTATTAATGAGACTCAATAATCAGAGAATTTACTGTACAGGATGAAATGACAGCCTAAGACAGTGGGAACTGCTTTAGAGGGTTAGATCTTTTGGGGACTTGTGTTACCCCCATAAAATATTGTCCCCTGAATCACACTATTTTTTATGTACTGTACTTAACTTTCAGTTTGTTGTATTTTTTAGGAAATGTATCAAAATTTGATACCAACTACGGAAGTAGGAAACAGTTCCAACCCCGTTGTAACTGCCGCAGCAGCAGCAGCAGTTGCTGCAGCAGTCAGCAGTGCAAGTTCAATAACTATACCTGTTGTATCACAAGTTACAGTAAGTTGAAAGATTGGTTTTTCTATTTAATATTTCTGAGTTCCCTGTTCCACATACATACCCTGTATATTACTTTCATAGCTTTATTTACTTATTTTTGTGTATGTAGTTATCTTATGTCTTCAAAATATTTATCATATCTTAGAAATAAGATGAGAGGAGGCATAATGAACCCCAAGAGTATGATACCTTAACCCTCAGGGTTGAATTGGTAATTTTATTAAAAAAATAGTTCTTACTAAAGGGATTAAATCGATATATCCAAAGGATTGTCATCATACTCAAGAGGTTAAGAAACCTTACTCAAAGGGTTAGTTAATTCATTGTACTTGTAGCCCTCAGTTAATACAATAGCTATGTTCCAAAATGTATCATGTTTAGTGAAAATGTATGAAGTGAAATTGATTATCCTTAAGGAAAACACATAAGAAGTGAGGTTTGCATATAGGCCAAGAATGATTTAATAGAGATTTTGTGAGAAATGACCCCTGGAGATAAACACTTGATGAGAGAGGCTGCAAGAGTGCCTACACTGCCTCTGCCTGAGTCTCTGCACCTATACAAGTTCTTGTTTTGTGGCACACAGAAAATATATACCACTTATTTTTAAAGACTTGAAAGCAATCAAAACAAATGCCTATCCTTAACTTTCTAAAAGAATTCTAGGTATACCCTTGATAACTGGGCACCTATTGGGCACTTGCCTCTCCAAATTGTCAAGGCATTCGCCCCCTACCTTACAGTAATACAACAAAACATTATCTGCCCATATATGTGTACATGTATACATGTAATTATCAAGGCATTTCCCCCCTATAATAATACAAAAATAAAATATTATTGGTCCATATACGTATACATGTAATCACTAATTTTTAAAAAGTAACACTTACCAGCACTGCAGGCAAAGAATGAAACATTGTAGTAGGCGACAGGCATGTAAGTGACGCAGGTGGCCAAGGTGATGGAGGGGGAATGCTACGTAAACAGTAAGGCACTTATGTATGCTACTGTAATTTGTTCACTTGTAAAAAAAATAAAGAATAAACTTTATAAAAATAATTGCTGTCTCTATGTATAATTCAAGTCCGAGTATGTAAATATAGTAAACACGTAACTTATATCACTCATATTATAGTCCACCCTAGTAAAACCATTTTCTTTAATACAGAGCAAAAGATTCCAAATTAAAATACTCTAATGTGGCTTAAAAATAAAGAAAATATAATAAAAAACTATAAAATAAGAAAAATGAAGAACATAGGTGTGTGTTTGTAGGTGGAAAGTGAACATATGTGGAGGAAGTAAGCTGTACTATATGGCTGACGCACCCGCGTCCCTCCTCCCAATGTGACATCACGGTATACACACATATGTCTGGGTCAGTACCGTGGGAACCAAATTTTACTAGTGGGTGCTGAATATTAATTCTGGTGCCCTAGATACTCTGTGGTGCAATGTGTAACATCTACCCAAATATTGGGGTGTTACGGCACCTTCTCTTCCCACGTCCATATACTGGATGGAGTGAGAAGGAGAGGATGGTGCAGCACACACAAGAGAACTGGCTAACCTTGGAGTGTGTACAGCAGATGGGCATCTGCCAACAGTCAGTCAAAACATTTCTAACAGTCTCGAGGATAGCTGAATTTCGATCACAAATCTTGAATAAAGGGTCACCAATAATTTTTGTGAATAAGTAAATTCACTAGTACAGGGGATAATTGTATACTAGATATTCTGAGATTTTCCAAAATTATTTTATAGATCTTGTTTTTCAGTTTTTTCTGAATAAATTCCGAGAGTATAGCCGTCCCAAGTTATAAAATTCCGAATTATCAAATGACGAGTTATCCAGGGTTTACTGTACAACCCAAACTATGTACAGGTACTGTATGTAATAGGTTTAGTAAGTAATAGGTCACTGGCTTGTTACTCTTTGAATATTTATGGTTCAGGACTTAAGTTTTGATTACTGTTGTATTTTGCATTTCAGACTCGAGCCCCACAGACAAGATCTCGGGCTCATGAATCTCCACCACCAACACCCAAGCGCAGAAAAACTTCCCCAACCCAAGAAATAAATTCACCCTTGCATAATGAAGAGGATAATAGTATTGATGAACATGCAGATATAAAAAGAGATATTCGTGTAGGTACAGTACAGTATTTTTATGACCTGATGCCCCATCACCTTGCTGTCATATACGGTACATCTTTTTAGTGGTCATTGTGTTGTACAGTATTGTAAATACTTATACCTCTCTCTTTGCTCGAGATTTTTTTTTTTAAGCATCTGGTAAGTTGGCAAATAAATAAATAAATAAATCTATTTCTGTATACAGTAAACCCTCGATAACTCGGCACATATGGGACTGGCCTTGCCGAGTTATCACAAATTCCATCTTAACGAGGCACTCCGCCCCAACCCCCACCCCCCTATTAAAATACAATAATAAAAAATTATCGACCCATATATGTGTACAGTACATGTAATTACTAAATGTAAAAAGGTAACACTTATCAGCACTGCAGGCGAAGAATGAAGCATTGTAGTAGGAGACACAGATGCATGGTAGGTGACACAGAGGCATGGTAGGTGATGCAGGTGGCTAGATATGGCGAGATTTTCCCAGATTTTATATATCTCGGCATTTCCTTAGTGATCAAATGCCGAGTTATTGAGGGTTTACTGTATATAAATACAATATATAGTGTAAATGCCTTTTGGAATTCAAGCGTGACATCAGCAGTTTTTATTTTCTGGCAATTTTCCTTTATTAATATATTTTGTGGTGTGGACTGATTTTCTTTTATTTTTTCTAGAACTTGTTAGAAGTAAAGCTGGAACCAGAAGAATATCCAGAGGATGGTTTGGAGGCAGAGGATGAGAATGACCAGCCTCCTCCACCTCCACCAGAGGTCAGTTTTATGGAACAGCCAGAGGGCCTCAGAAGTATGGGTGGTGCAACGTCCTCTGTGAGTTTACCCTCTGTCTTCCTGCCTCAACAAACTACTAGTGAGAAGACCAGTCATACTATTATCCCTCGACGGAACTCACATGAGAAAACCTCTTCTGCCAACCTACAACCAGAATTTCCTCAAGACCCATCCTGTAAGGACCGTATGTGTGGTTCTGTTTCACCTTTAAATATTGTAACTACTTTTGTAATTGAAGTGTTTCATATTGTTATAAGTATCAGTTTGTTTATTCCAACAGGACTTGATCTTTTATTAGAAAGTTTCCTGCAATAAGATAAATTAAATTTTGTGTTGAAATTGATACTGTAACAGCATGTTGTCCTTTGATTCATTTATTTTGCAATTGTTAAAACATATTTATAAAACTACAGCCTACTCTTCCAAAAAGCATTGTATCCTTTGAGTCAAATTGTATCACTACGTACAGGTATTCCAGATATACGAAGAGTATGTATTCCTGGAAATCCATCAGTTAAGTGAAAAACTGTACAGTATTTCAAATGGTAGAACCTATGTATTATTGTGGGTTCCTTTTCAGGGAGGGAATATGTTGGTCAGATGGGGAGATTTCATACAAACTTCATCAAGTCCAGTAAGACTAATAATAAAAAATAAATATGAAAAAATTAAACTTGTACAGGTGCAATAGTGTAAATGCATCTCTGCAGCCTGAGTGGTCATCTTGACCTTGTGCTGGCTAAAAGTTAGCATTCTTTAAAGAAAAAAAGGGGATAAAAATGTGATTGTTATTTATAAATGTGAATGTTTCCATTTGTATAAAGAAAAAAGGGGTGTCAAAATGTTTTTGTTATTCATTAAAGCAAATATTTGCTCTCATATGAAGAAAAAAGGTGTCGAATTGTGACATTCGTTGAATTTTGTTTGTTTATCTGGCATATGTATATTGGGGATAAAATTTGACTCAAAGTATAAATTACTTTTCTGCATAATGCAGGATGTCCACAAAGAAGAACAAATACCAGATATACTCGTGTATAAACAGATCTCATAGATATTTCGACCCCTGATTTTTCGGTAAAAAATCTTGAGTTTTTCATGTATTTCTTGTATAATTCCACCCTAGCTTTTGAGATTTACTAGGTATAATTTGCAGCAAGACACCAGATTTGCAGCTGATGCTATGAACAGTTTTACCATCTCTGAAACTGAATTTCTGTCAGTTACCAACTCTTATGAGGAATAAGATAAAATAAAATATACCAGTAAATGTGAGAAATAAAAAAATTAGAAAATTACGTATATCTACCCAAAATTACGAGTTGAAAAATAACCATAACTTAGCTCACAACTTGGCCTGGAGTGGTAGGAAAAGAACTAAGGGATGAGTCTTGTTTCATTATTACAAATACCTGTACAAAACTATTATAAATTGCTGAAAAAAACAAGCAAAAAAAGAGGTATATTATCACATGTAATGTAACGGCCTACACAGTTAAGTCGAATTAAGGCTGAAGCCCATTCAAAACTCCCTGTACCTATTTCCCAGCATTCTTAAACCATACCTTTCTTATATTAGTTAACAATTGTGCTACTTCAAACAACATTTGTATACAATCTAGATGAAAAAAATGTAGCAAAAACCATTAAGGAAAAGCTAAATGAAAGTTTAACACAACTGCCATTTGCATAGACGCTGGCTGCTTCGCCGCCTTAACACTTGCCAGTCGTCATACCAACACAGCATACCTGGGACACAGCCTCTGCAGACTGGCCCGACCCCCAAACTCCACTTTTTCCGACACAATACCTATGTTGTAGTAAAAATAACATCTAAATTTTATGATGGTATGCTCACACAATTAATATTTAAGAGAAATACAGTCGCCAGGTTAATGTCCATTCAAATAATGGACTCAAATCGCCCCCCTCTCTTCCCAGCTCACTAGCTCCTACCTCTCTCAGAAATGTTTGGGTGAAACCACTAGATTTTAACGTTTAGTAATAAATAATACCTCAGACTAAAGTTAGGATAATATAATTGACATTTCTGGATTCCTTGCAGGTCAGGGAATATTTTGCACAAAAGATAAAATATTTCCTTTGTGTAAACCAAATTATTACATTAGATCTAAAATTTGTATGTCCAATGCAAAATTCATGATGTTTATATTCAAAATGATCATCATATTGTAAGAATTCCAGCAATGTAAATTATATTCTGGCAGGGTAATTTGTATGAATTTTATGAGCTAAAAAAAAAAAAAAATAAAAAATAAATTATACTTCACCGCGCGTATATGAGTAGATGCACCGTGGAAAGTGAAAGTCCGGTTCTGGCAAGGTACCGCGTAAATGAGAAATCGCGGAAAGTGAAACCGTGTAAAGCGGGGTAATACTGTACTTTCTTTTTTCATAGTACAGTACAGATATGTATGTAGGATTGTGTGTGTATGTACTGTAACCGAGTAGAAAAAAAAAAAGGAAGAAAGTTCTGTATATTTACCAGAAATTAAGAGTTGGAAAATAACCTCACAGGTCAGTAAGGTTTGCCTACCATGAGCATGTCCCAGGTAGCCATTATTCATCGTGAATGGCCCGTGGAAATGTGTGAATTTTTGCCCCTTGAAAATATTATGTATATATAGTTCGACCCCCTATTTTTTGCAAAAAAAAATTATAGCCAAACTATACTCGAGTATATAAGGTACACTTAAACATTTTTTACTAAATGCATTTTCATTCTTCCAAAAATCACTTACCCCCATCCACACACACTACTGCAGGGATGGCCAAAATGTCTTTCGTGATCTACCAGTACATTGCAAAGCAATTTCTGGTAGATTGCGGGATGGGTAGTAGCGTCATAGCCCATTATCAGGGATCCTACAGGTACAGTACACAGCACCACTGCCAAGTGCACGACCTGTCGGTTATTACAAAGAATTTTTTTTATCTCTATTTTTGCTAGCAACATTCATGACATGTTTTGTCTTTGCATCTGGCAGTTATTTAGCAAGGAAGGTCATATTTAAATATTTGGGGAATATTTAATTAATAATGTCACAGAAAATGATACCGCTTACATAAATATACGCCAAATTTCACCAAATCTCTCTCATTTAGGACTCAAAATTCATCCACTATCTGCTGGAGATTAGGAAAAAATGTGCTTGTAAATCACGTTTGGAAAACCATGGATTAAGTAGGTCCAGTCACACGAAAGTCTGGCCACTGCTGCACTACAGCCTCCTGGATGTTCAACCTCTCACTTTTAGTACCCTAATGGCATAAGCTGGTGATATAACTTAGGTAATGCAGAGATGAAAATAGGTGAATTATTGCTTACTCTTTATCTTAGGTGATACACTTTTAGATAGTGATTTTATCCCAATTTGTTAATGCAACCTTATTTTCCAGTCAGGTTCTCCTCGGGTGGAGCTACAATTTTTTTTTGGTGATTGTACAGTACTGTATTAATGTTTTTTATACGATTTTTGTAAGTGAAATGGATAAAAAAAAAAATTTCAGGCCAAAATCTGCCATATCCTTGCCCTTTCTGTGAGAAGGCATATACTTCATGGGGATTCAGAAGGCGTCACATCAAGGGATATCACACATCATCCCCCGAGTTACCCTGCAAGTGGTGTTTCACAGTTCTACCTTCACACCAAGATTGGGCGGTAAGATAGACCGAATATAGTCTTTAAAATTATGGCAAATGCAGTGCCTTAATGAAATTGAAAGCCTCTTTTAGAAGGTCTTGTGGAAAATAGTGCACAATCAATTCTTTAAACTCTCTTTATCTTAGCTACATAATGTACTGCATTGTCTTGTAGCATTTTATGATCTCCAATACTGATATATACTTCAATATTCTACAGACAAAAAACAAGTTTCAGATTACAATATTAAGTAATATAAAAGACAATTTTATTATCATGAAGTTATGTGCTCAAAGGTACATATTCCTCTCAAATTACAAAAACAATATGAGTGTTACATTAAAGCTCCTTTTGGAAGGATGTTCTAAAGATGAATTTGGATTGTTCATATGAACTCTAATCAGATAAAAAATATGACCGATATTTAAATGCTGAAGCACGATATTGAATGCTGTAAATAGTCTTAATAAAACAACACAACATTTTGTTATACAGTACACACTGCCTTGACTATTTTTGTTGATTATTGAATTTGTCACTGGTTTAGGTTGCACCTATAACTACGTACATGGAAAAAAAATTAAGCCCAAGCTCCTGCACCAATCCAGAAAGAAATTTCTGCCTTTAATGTCCTCCTTTCTAGAAGCATTTTCAAGACAATAATATGTAAAGTTAAAACTTACGAAATTCGCTGTTTTCTACAAATTTCCACTAAATGCGTCAGCAACCAACAATATCATATTTCACCCATAAATGAGCACTGTTTACAAAATGTCCTAGCTTTCTCGGAGCTCTAGGCATTAGTAAGCACCATGCAAATACATGGGCATCACTTAAGTTTTAATCACAAGAAAAATGTTTACCTTGCAAACTATTGTTAAGTTCCAGTATTCCCAAAATACAACATAGAGAAAGCATCTCGCTGAACTACCTAGGCATAAATTAGAATAAAAATTGTGACCAAACTGTTCTACATCTGACTTTAATATTTTCATATTCAGTTTTTTGTCATTAAATAACTCATTTAAACAAATAGTTCAAATTAGACTACTGTACTGTATAAGAAGTTTCATAAACAAATTAAACAAAAAAAATATGATGTATAAAATCTGTAAAAACTAAGTTGTGTTAGATTTATGGGTGTGAAGGACAAAATTATTGCTAGTCTTAAGTTGTCTGTATTTGCATAAACCTTTGTACAGTGGAAGGTATTTTGAAATACTGTACGACATATAGTGTTCAACTTTTAAGTAAACATACACTTAAGAATTTTAACTTTTTATGGTCAGAGCTTTAAAATTATACAGTATGAACAGAATAGTAAATGATTGTGTTCACACAATCATTTACATCATCTTTTTTGGACAGTTTTCTAAAGACAGAAACCAGAGGTTGGAGTTTTTAGTATTTCAGGAGCCATGCTCTGTTTCTTAATCTTTGGATAGTTTCTTTTAGTTCAGCCTGGGCTTGGATCAGATTCAGTAATTTGAGCTGATTATTTTAACCAAATATTTCAACAGGAACATGTTACTAGAAGACACAATCTAGCTGTGGGAGATGCACGCAATGGCCTTCTAATCCTAGAAGAAGCCCACATGGTGCTCCAAATAGCCCAGCCTACACGGATCGACTCTCTGATGGAATTAATTAAAAATAAAAAGGACAAGGACGAAGATAACCCCCAGAAAAAGGATGGAGATGGAAAGGATGCTGACCAAAGTCAGAATCAGAGAGATAAAGGAGAAGGAAGCAAATGAAAACTAATTAGTTGTGTAGATATTTTTCCATTCAGGGATAATGTATCAGAGTGATGAAAACTTCCAAAAGGAAATTTTGAATGAACACTGTAATGGATGTGTTTGAGCGAGTGAGTGTTTGTATGAAGATGTACAAGGGTACAAGTCACTGGAAGACTAGGAGAGAATGTTGGTGTGCCTTCAGGAGAAAAAGTTTCAAAGGTACAGATTCATTGCCATACTGACATGTGATATTATACCTTGAAGTTGATTCTTTATGACTGTCTGATAGATGTTGGTGTAGGGAGCACACTAATTTTCTATAAAAAAATAATTTTAAAGAAATTCTATATTACCTCATCAAAATTTAAATTGTTTGTATTTGCATAGTCATTATAAGATAAATTTGGCCAGTTAGGAAAACTTTCTTGGATTGATATAAAACTCAAATATTTTTTTTGAAAATTTTTACAATTGTAATTTTTCATCTACTATCTCATTATCTACTAGCACAAAGGAAGTCTGGTAGTCTTTACTTCATATGCAGTTTTCTCTCCTTTGTCATTGACATTAAAATAATTTTGGTAATATTAAAAAAATTATATATTTTTAGACTAATCGCCCAATTTTCTTATAACAATTCCATGCTGAAATCAGATGTCATCTCATTGTATAAATAGCTCCCTGGAAATGTGCATCTGTTTTCCTGCTCTCTCATAGTCAGTTAGTGTACAATGCTTTTGTATTTGTGATGTGAAAATTTACAGTCAGAGTTCTCTTATATAGGGTCAGTCTTTGTCTTACACATTATAGGAAAATCAGCCTTGTTGAAGTGTCCTCTGAGGTTTAAATTTTGTATTAACATCACAGTGACTAATATATGAATGGTAATGCACAAAATAATATAATTATAATTACTGTATTTATTCTGGACTAAGTATAGGGCTGGCCTCGTGTTATTTTAACTTTTGCCAATACCTAACATGAATTGTATTTTTATACTGAGTTAGTGGCAAATTCATATTTTTTTGTTCAATATACAGTAACATGAAATATTGTAAAGTAGTTTATTTTTGTCCAAATATGTACAAATTTCCAAGTGTAGAAAATTACAATTAAAAGTCTTTCATTAATATTTAAATTTAATATAAGGGTATTTATTGTACCTAATACACTAATCATGCCTTATTCTTTGTCAAGGATTTGGAGAGATGTTAAGAGATTCATATTGTAGTTGTGTGTTAAAACAACTGAAAACATATTGTATTTTCCATAACTACAAAGAGATGCTCTACTTCTAGCACTAATCTGCATTAACAGCAGAGAATTTAGTACCTGTCGAAGCACAGGTTTGGAAATTTTCACACGGAAGTTGTATGTTGGTTGTAGATTACATTGGATACTGGCACGAGTGAAATTATTAATGTGAAAATGCCGAGGGCAATAAAAAAGATATATTCGTAAGTACCCTCTCCTTTTGTCAGTAAATGGTTTATTTTTTTCTTTTACATTACACATACGGTACATTGAAATCCTTGATAATGTCACACATTTTCAAACTTAAGATATTAAATACTTTGCCTTTTTTACACCCTTTCTTAATATATATATATATATATATATATATATATTTACACACACACACACACACACAGTGACCCCTCCATTAACGAACTCAATCCGTTCCAGAAGGTCGTTCGTTAACCGAAAAGTTCGTTAACCGAAACCATTGTTTCAATGGGTTTTTGGGTAATTGGTTCCAGCTCACCGAAAATTTCCTAAATTCAACAAAAATGGTCGAAAAGTTCACTTACTTTGAGGTGTGTATGTAGAAGGCTCCTGGATGATGATGATGGGAATTAGAATGGGGGTGGAGGAGAAGGAAGAAGAGAAGGCATTGGGGTGGAAGAGAAGTCACTCCATGGCACCATTTCATCCATAAAATTTTAGTTCTCTTGGTGTATTTCAAGATTATTTTCTTTATATCAACACGGCACTGCATTATATATTGTCAATATGTAAAATATATTTCAAAATGACCAATAATTTGCTTGGAAACACAGAAAAAAAACATTTAGTTGAAGAGAGTCTCAAGCAAGATGTTACCTCCAGTGAAAACAGAGAGACTAACTCCTGTATGCTGTGTTAAGAGGCTGTATGCCGCGAATTAAACTAGTCACTTTACCTTCAATTATGTTCAATAATTGTTAAAATTACTAAAAAATTGAATATTAAACTTTTAAAATTATTGAATAGTATAAACTTCTTGATATTTACTAAAATAGTAAGGAATTTAAGCCCTAGAACCGATTAATGTATTGGCGGACTGATACTAAAGCTGGTTGCCCGGTCAGTGCAAGCGAAAACATGTTGAGGTCGGTTCGTAAGAACTTCGTTAACCGAATTATGGAAGGCAGTTCGTTAATCGAAATTACGTTAACCGAGGTGTTCGTTAAACGAGGGGTCACTATATATATATATATATATATATATATATATATATATATATATATATATATATATATATATCAACCCCAGAAGGATGGTTGCCAGATACCAACACCAGCCTTTTCACCTGACCATATCAGCTCCCTTAACTTCAATTTTAATGAAGCACAATACAGATACAGTCTGTGTTAATGTAAAGCAGACCTTCAATAATTAAGTACTGTACTGTACTTGAATAAGAGATAATGAGAAGTGTGATCAGTTTCATATAACAAGGCCTTGTGCCTCTTACCCTATACAGTACCTGGTCTGCCAAGGATTAGGTGAGCTGTACAGTACTGTATAGTGTTGATACTTGTGTTATTGTGGAACAATTATCTTATACAGGTATCCCTCACTTTATGAATAGGTTAGGTTCTTGAAAAGATATTTGGTAAATTTTCGTCTAGCGAATTAAATATCATACGAGAATAATAGGGTTCGGTTCCACAATGACAAAAAAACTTAAATATCATGAAATAGGTTCAAGAATAAAAAACCTACCTAATTAATGATGAAGAGTACACAACTATTGTAATATAACTACCTAATACATTAAAAATATTAATAAAATACAGTACTGTATAACTTTGGTACATTACCTTGTGGGAGGGCAGTCATAGCTCACCACGGGGGTGAGGTGGTGTGGGTTGAGGGCCTTACTTAGAGATATGAGGACTGTCCACCTTATCACTATTGCCTCGAGAGTCACAGCCTTGTGTATTTTCTTCATTGTAGTACTGGTAGCCGAAGATTCAGCAGAATCCTCAAGTGCCATGACAAGAATGGCAAGGATAGAGATCACTTCACACATAAATTGTGGAAGGAAAGATGTGGGCTTATGGGACATGCGGAAGGGAGGGGGTTTGTTATGAACAATGAACAAAAATATGTCTGTGCATTCTCCAAGATGGCCATTCCCACTGACTCCCGGGGCATACAGTTTGAAGTTTTGCCGGGACTGAAATTCGTATAAGCAGGGGAGCTTTTGTAACGAAAAAAGATACTTTAATTTAGGAAATACGTATAAGCGTATTTTTGTATGGCGGGGGAAATCTGTATATTTTACCCTTAAAGCCGGGCAATGTAAAACCCGCTAGACCCTCCACACTGGCATATTTTGGCAAAAAACAGAAAAGAAAAAAAATACATTGTCACCTTATTAATGGTTTAATCAATATAAAAATAAAATAAAATGTACTTACATTCAACATTCATTGTAGCATGGTTGGAGAGTTGTCTTGTGTTGATGAGCAGTGTCGAGTGATGAAAGATGTTTTGTTTGAAGTTGTTACACAGCACAAAGCGAGCAGGAAGTGATGTTGACACACTTGCAACACACCTTTATATCATTCCTATCTTATAGCGACTACAAAACACAAAATATTTCTATTTCCTCAAAAGAACTATAAAATACTGAACAGAGGTCAAAGCTCATGCATCCATCATTACAGTTGGTGGGTAACTGTCACGAGGCACGAGTCATGGGACAAAGGTTACGCACGAGATGAGTTGCCAAATAAATAAATATCACATACAATGTATTTTGTCCTGCCTGGACACTAAAAAAATGCAGGGTAAATTAAGAATGTCACCCAGGGTCGTCTTAGTGAACGTAGAGGAATGTCACACGGGCTTGAAGGGTTAAATGTATGGCTCTTTTTTTTTTCCTTATTAAATAGTGGAATGTCCTATCCCAAGACATTTGTTCTTAAAAATCAAGGTGAGGCAGTAAGTGCAAGGGGTTGAGGCTTCACAAGCTGTGAATGACATAACTGGGTGGTGTGGCTCAGCCTAGACCACTGACTGGCATAGGCGACATTTCATTCTCCTTACAAAGACTTCTACGCTTTAGGCCTTTTACAAAGCCTTTACCTTCTTCACTTCAAGAGGTCATTGTATACTGTAAAGCATGCATGGGCAACCCATGGCCCATGTGTGGCACGAACCATGCCTTTGTGCTGCCCGCTGAGTGATTGAAAAATTCTATTTAATGTGGCCCGCAAGTAAACCAAAATATATTAAAAGAAAAATCTTCAGACAATTCATTACCGTTTCATCACCTAACAGTATGTAACTACGAAAATGTAACAGTGAAACACGTATAAATAGTAAAAAAATATAAACATTTAAACTTGCGAGAGTTTATGGGCCAAGTTCGGCTCAGTCTCTTTGATGGATTAGCTGCGATGTGGCAGTGGGTCATTTGGCAATTAACTAAGGTTGGGTAAATCCAACTGGGGTCATGGGTGATAGTCACACAGGTCAAAGGTAATGGTCTCTCCCTTGTTGACAGACACATCACAGAACACCCATCCTTCATACCTTCCAAGCCTGGCTATCTGTCCTATTATATATATATATATATATATATATATATATATATATATATATATATATATATATATATATATATATATATATATATATATATATATATTCAACGACCTCACCAGCCAGGACTCGAACCCTCGACCTACTGTGTGGGACCAGGGAACGCTACCGACCATGCCACAAAGACACTAAAAGCAGTTCTAGACTATATTATATTTCACATAAAGCCTGTTCATCAAGCTGATGGCGCTGTGAACCTCCCATTGGGAACTGCCCGTGCCATTTATGTGGATGTCAGTAGCATTTTACCCAATCCAGCTGGTTATCAGCATATTCCTGGATCACGCGCATCCACAGTGATTTACTTGCGTATATATATATATATATATATATATATATATATATATATATATATATATATATATATATATATATATATATATATATATATATATATATATATATATATATATATATATATATATATATATATATATATATATATATATATATATATATATATATATATAATCAACGACCTCACCAGAATCGAATCGACCTACTGGGTACTAGGAGTACCTCCTTCATACACACTGGATTCGGTGAAATGCTACTGACACCACATAAGAGGCACGGGCAGTTTCCCATTGAGGTTCACGGCGCCATCAGCTCGATGAACAGGCTTTGTGTGAAATATAACAGAGTCTAGAACTGCTTTTAGTGTCCTTGTGGCCTAGCCGGTAAGCGTTCCCTAGTCACACCCAGTAGGTCGAGGGTTCGATTCCTTGCTGGTGAGGTCGTTGATTATATGTTCAAAGTCCGCGTGTTATATGGACTAAAAATGAAGTATATATACTGTATATATATATATATATATATATATATATATATATATATATATATATATATATATATATATATATATATATATACAGTGGGGTATGCTATAACGAATCTAATTGGTTCTAGAACCTTGTTCGTTATAGCATTCGTTCGTTATAGGATTAATCCGTTCCAGGCCACCAAATACAACCACTTAACACTGAAAAATATAATATAAAATTGTAAAAATTGTAAAAAAGTGCATAAATATGCATCTAAACCCCTGAAATAACCAATATCATTAATACTTGTAATAAAAAAACAATAAATTAGTAAAAAAAAAAAAATTTTTTTTAAATAATGTTCGTTGTAGGAGTTTCGTTCGTTATAGCATTCTCAATTTTATAGGTAAAACCGTTCGTTATAGGAATATTCGTAGTAGGATCCGTTCGTTATAGCATACCCCACTGTATGTATGTATATATGTATATATATATATATATATACACAGTATAGTCTTCATTTATGTGGTCAATTGAACCCGTGGAGGTCCGCGTAAACGAAAGAACAGAACATATGGGATTAATTGAAATAGAGACTGGGCCGACCCCCAAACTCCACTTTTTCCGACAATACGTACCTTGTAGTAAATATAACATCTTAATTTTATGATGGTATGCACCCACAATTAATATTTAAGAGAAATATCAATAATATTAGGTTTTTTAACACTTACATTAGTAGAAAAGATGGGTCGGCACACGTGGATGGCAGCTGGTTCCGAGGTAGAGGGCAGATTAGTTGCCCTCCGGTGAATCCTCACTGTCACTGACTTGGGCTGGCTGTGGTTATGGTGGGTTGCGGGCGAAGAAGTCCTCAATACGTTGACGACTAGCATTGATGTTTTCGAGATAGATCTGGATATACGGCTCCATAACTTTCGTCAGATGGTTATTAGACTTCATCCTAATGCTTGTCTGGTTCATTGTCAAGGATGAGCCTAATTTTCTCCCCCAACTCGATGATTTCCTTCACACATTCAAGGCTTGGTCCAGGTAATTCAAGGTTTTTCTCGGGTAGTGGGGGTCCACCGGAAGCCATTGTGAGGGGAATAGCGGGCACAAGAGAGAACTGTATACGCGGACTGAGAACAATGAGACTGGCCCGACTAGGTCAGCGACTTCTACCCTCTGGTGGCAGGGCACGTCATGTTACATTAGACCAATCACAGCTAGCGGCGGAGGGAATGCGTGGGTGGTAAGGATGCGTGGCCCAATCACAGTCTGATACGACATATGACATCAGCGATAACGTAAGAGCGGCCTAATGCGCGCCGCTTCCCGCGTATGGTCAAGAATGGACCGCGTGAGTAAAAAATGGCGCGGCGCGTCAGGACCTCGCCGTGTAAATGACCAGATTTACCGCGTAATTAAAACATTTCATTCTGGCAAGTCACCGCGTAAATGACCAAACGCGTAAACAAAAACAGCGTAAATCCAGACTATATATATATATATATATATATATATATATATATATATATATATATATATATATATATATATATATATATATATATATATATATATATATATATATATATATATATATATATATATATATATATATATATATATATATATATATATATATATATATATATATATATATAAAATTGTAAAATAAATACAGTAGATGTACCTATAGGTTATTTCATTGTGTAGTTCCTCTGGAGCCAAAATTAACATTGACACTCTGGTGGGTGTCTCCTAAGTAAGAAAAATGCTGTAACCGCAGGAAAAATCAACGTATTCACATGCCAAGAAACTTAAACATTTTACTTAAAAAAATCATGATGGATTTGTTTCATAATGGGAAAAAGACTGCGATTATCAACTGAAAATATTGTAAGGTGGACGTGACGATAAAATGTTTCCCTGTCCATGCTAATACAATACACCCAGTATTAACATTACTTTTGGGTTAGGTAGGATATAAATTTTGGTGAGTTGGCCCGCAGAAAAATACTTAAATCGTAATGTGGCCCTTGACTGAGGAAAGGTTGCCCAGGCATGCTGTACAGTACAATGTAATTGCAGCAGGGGTGAGATAGATGTAAAAACAAGCCCTAACACAAGTTTCCTAAATAATCCCCACTCCATTCTATTGGTTGACATGTTACTGACAACATTTAACCTGTCTGACAGCTTTAACAGTGTTGAAGCCAATGTTGACACTATGTTTATAGGTATCCAGTGCCTCAGTAAAGGTTTTCTGGTGCCTTGGACCCACCAACCATAAAAAACCCAGTAATGATGAGGTATTCAACTTCCATTGATTCAACATTCATGGTCTTCTCCAGGAGTGAAACTCCTACAGAAATAAAGGGATAGGTGTATTACTGTATTTGCTGGTATAAAGGATGCACCGCTGCACAAGACACATCCCTATTTTATAAGAATTTGTTGAAAAAAGAAAAGAGAAAAGAATTTCAGTACAATTCATACACTTTAAAGTATCTTTTAGGTGAAAACATATTTTGAACACATAAATACACTATACTGTACTAAAGATAATTAATTTCCAAATTTCCCGCCGCTATGTATGAGGGAATTGGCAGGCGAGGGGTGGAAGCAACAGTCGGTAGCAACTGTACTGAAGTTTCTCACTGGCCATATACGGATTAGGCTACTCGCTTTCATCTTCTAGATTAGTATTGCGTACTGTTTGATGATTTCATAGGTTACGAGTTAAGTAAGATTATTGCGTAAAGTATGATTTGACTGAATAAATCTGTCATGTTCTTTGATAATATTCCCTCTAGTCTAGTACATTTAGTATTAAACAAAACATATCAAACAAATGTGAAAAATGTACGATAATTTAACTCGATGACCCTATCTAAACTAAAGAATAAAGTAAATTTTCAGAATTAAAAGTACTGTACAGGTACTGTATGTACTGCACAGTAATACCTCAATTAACCGACCACATATGGGGGGAAGAGGCCGACGGATAATCCGAAAGGTCGGTTAATAGTACATAAAGTCTACGGAAATAAAACGTACATTTTCAAAGTACCTTTCCCTAACCTACCACATTTAATTCCCTCTATTCATTTTTGTTTATTTGCCATTCATATTTCAATAGAATTTGCTTTAAAACATTAACCACTTTAGTAAATAAATATGAACCAGCACAGAAACCATGACTAAAAAATGGAAAAGTCAAAGAACATACAGTACATCACAAAAATTGTGACCAAGTCCCAGGTTGCTGATCTGACTTTCTACCTCATTTATACACAATTGCAGGGTCTCAATTGCTTCTCTTACTATTGACAACACAACATACATATATTGTTTCTCACTTGATTTTTTTTGTTCATTTTTGCATTTATTTATGGTTCTTAATTATTATCATTATCATTATTAATATTATTGCCCCCCCCCAGGCCCCGATGTGGGTCAGTGACCTGTGCCCGGGTGGGTTCATCCCTGCATAAAAAAAAAAATTTTTTTTAGGAGTTCGGGATTGACGGTTAATCCAAAAGTCGGTTAATCAAGGTTTGGTTAATCGAGGTTTTACTGTACCAAGATTCGACCCGAGTTTGTGAGTTTGACCGCCTTACATTCCGTGCACTGATGTAACCCGCCATACAGAGGGTGAGTCTGCTGTGCCGTCCACAACCACTCACAAACTAACAATAGTCAGGCATCTATCATTTTTATCATCAATTAAGTTTTTAGTTTTTAATTGTACTACAACTCACAGGATGATGACGGTAGCCAGTCATGACCTTAACACCACCATTTCATATCCCTGACACAGACATTTATCGAGTTATATGCCTGAAAGGTATTATAGTTGGCCACTAAACAAGCAGGAATAGAATGATAGTGGTGGTGATACATAACCTCGCATACAGTTGTGATAGAAGCTCATTGGATAATTTTTTTTCTTTGGGGGGAGGCAGGAGGGAAGCCAATCATGCTCAGGTCAAGTGAACCACCCCTTAAGCACAGTAAAATGATCGCCTACTGTATATTCAAATGTTGCTTGAAGTTAGCACAATTGTTAAGCAACATAATAAAGGCATTTGGTATGGTTTATGAATGTTGGGAAAGGAGATACAACGAGATGATCTAGTTTGCCTTTGTCATTAAGCTAATGTACGGTAAGTGCGTAATTTTGCTTTTCGATAATCTTCCTTTTGTGATAATTCTGTTTGTTCAGTATTTTATATTATTCCATGCAATAGCAGGGCTTGTATAGTGATAAAGGATAAACAAACCTAAAAACATAAACCCACCCCAACAATATTTGTAGTACTGGCACATCGGACCTAGGGTAATTTTTGGACACGTTTTTAGAAAAAAGTGCATCCTCTATGCCAGTAAATACGGTAATTAATTCAAGTAGATTTATAACATTCTTACTTCATTCCACTTACCTTAAGAGAAAACTTAGTCCAACTGAATGCTGACAGCATTAATTTTTCCTTTACTATTTTATGATCAACATAGTTAAATTGTCATTGAATGCCTATAAAGTACTTTCTGCTCTTCTATTTTATCAATTTAAGTGCATCGTCCATCAACTATTCAGCCACCTCTTAAAGTGTTCCTTTTCAGGAGTCAAGGTGGGAGAGATGCATTTTGGGGACATGATCATCCTGCATTTGTAAAATAGTACAAAAATAAATTCATGTGTTGACAGGCCTGTCAATAAAGAAAATGTAAAACTGTATTGAATCATTTACTAATGTTCACCTTAAGTGACACAGACATTCATTTTGGATGAACATACAATATAAATTCCTTTTAATCATAATAAATAAATAATGATGATCTCATTTTCTTGAAACATATATGTACTGAATTTAATGGCATACACACAGTACATAGAGAGATTTGTAACTAAAGAGAGAAAAAAATCCATTACCTGTATATTGATATTTCTGCCAATTGAATTATAAAAATAAAAACTATACAATACCTGTACTTTGGTCATTGCCAACACTTAATTCTACAAGCAAAAAACTCAATTTCACCATACTGGCATGTATAGATTTTGCTGAGTAAATTCACTGACAAGAATTCCAATTATCTTGTGAAGAATATTCTTAACAAAATGTATGAAGCACAAAATGATGAACAGGTTTTACCATAACTTTAATTCAAGTAACAATGACTTCCAACTCTAAAGCTCATTCTCTCAATATAAAAAGCAAGACTATGAACAGAAGGCTTGTGATACATCTTTATCAGAAAATATAAAAAGTGTCATTAGAGTTCTGAGGGATCATGAAATATTCTACTATCATCAGAAAAATGTGATGGATTGATGAAGACTCCTTCCATCGTCTCCCATTTAGCTTGTACTCCTGGTCGTGACAACCCTACAACTTCATTCTGTCCATTGATAGGACGGCCATACTGTTGTCCTGTTACACCAAGGTACCTGTTGGTAAAATATTCCAGGTGATAGCAATTGGAACAAACGAAAACTGTATCTACAAAGATTAAAAAGGACCCAACTTCTCACCCTGCCCTTTGTCTTCACTGCATTATTTTCAATGTTTACATTATTCATTGTGTTAGCACCAACTCAACATTTTCAGTTCCTTGGCACTTACCCTCTTACACTAATCTTTTCCCATAGCTCTCCTCAGTAATCTGTTATGCCAAAATATTTTAGAAAAAGACGTACTAAAATAAGTACTGTACAGTATACTGTACTGTATTTTATCTAGAACACTTACACATCTGTGTCTACATGTCGGAGCATGATGCTCTGTCGACGATCCCATTCTTCACCATCACAAATAACAACCCAGTCATCGCCAGAATCACCTTCTCCTTCTTCTCCAAATGCTGAAATCTCTTGTTTGTCTGATAGAGGCGAGGAAAAGTGATGTGAATGTAGGTTCCTCCTTGTTGCCAGGTGCTGCAGGCGACGTCTGTCCACAAGTAACTGGTTCCCTAATACATAAATGGAATTAATGTACATTAGTAAATTTAAAATGTTTAAAACCCTCAATACCTTCCAATATTGTTTTTTTTATCACCTGGCTGATGAAATAATCAGTAATGAAATATTTTTTACTGGGCCTGACTAGAAAGTGTCAGCATGAACTCAAAGGCTTTGAATCAGTCTAAAATTTTTAACCCTGATCTCCAATATCGTTGTGTTCCCATGCCTCCTTTATCACCCACCCATTTAAGGCTACAGGTATTTAAGATACAGTACAGAGTTGAAGCATAAGAAACCCTCCATAAATGTTAAGATTGCTACTGAAGGTAGATAGATCCCTAGACATGCTAAAGCAAAGTCCAAAGGGCCACATAACTTTACAACAGTAATAGAAAATACAAACTTGTCCGAGATCTTGTATGAGTAATACACAGTATACTGTACTGTACATGTATTCAGATATCAAGTTTGGCTAAAATCCATCAATTAGTTTGAGTTACCGTGTTCACAACTGTAAAACAAAGGGATTGGAAATCACCATGAAAAATTTCTTTTATTCAAAACATACAGTACGCCTGGATAATTCGTGGATTTTATTTCAGGTGTCGAGGTCCTCTATTATTCACAGATGACACCCTGGATGTACCCATGAATGTCTTTCGGTAGTTTTAAAGTTGCTGGCATTTTCATGCCGGGACAGGGAGCCATTCGTTCTAGAGACAGTAATTTCCTTTATCTGTATTTTTATGGTATACTATATATATATATATATATATATGCAAGTAAATCACTAGGTGCGAATGATCTAGGTGTATGCTGATAACCACAAGGAAAGAAGAAACACGGGTTCCAGCCGCTGTAATTCACATCTTCAGGGGTGAGTACAGACTAAAGAGAAATACAAACCAAGGTGTATATATACAGAGGAGGGTGAGACCAGGTCCATAATGGTCAGGTATTAGGTAATGACCCTACTAATCTTTAAATAGCACACAACGGTTGGTGGTCAGGTCAGAGGGTAGGCGACCTAAATTTTCTACCTGGTCACAAATCTTCTTAATTACAAAATTGTCCAGTTTGTACAGCGGCCATTACTCAAATTCATGTTGAATATATATATATATATATATATATATATATATATATATATATATATATATATATATATATATATATATATATATATATACAAATAGATAATAATGGAAAAATCCTCACAAATAATCTAAAAAATTAAAAAAAAATGCAGGTCTACCCTCAAGTCTACTCTGTGCTTTACAATAAACAAAGCACGAAGTAGACTTGAGGGTAGACTCACATTTTTAATAAATTTGTTTCTGATTATTTGTGAGAGGATTTTCCCATTATTATTTATTTGTATGTGTTTGTGTGTGTGTCTACACACACACACACACACACATATATACAGGTTGACAACCCTTTATCCGAAATTCCAAAAACCGAAAAGCTCTGAAAACCGAAAGTTTTTTGTGGAGCAATTTTTTTTTTTTCACCCAGGCGGGTCACTGACCCACATCGGGGCCTGGGGGGTGAAAATGTAATAGTAATAATAATAATAACTATGCATAGTAAATAAAAATTTTAATAAAAAATACACAAAAATAAAATAAGAATGATAACAATGATAATAATAAGAATAATACTGTAATAATAATAAAATAATAATAATAATAATAATAAAGAAATACAAGAATGAAAAAAAGGTCAAAAGTGAGAAACACGACCTAGACCTATGAATTATTATTATTATATTTTAGCCCCAAGGCCCCAATGTGGGTCAGTGACCTGTGCCCGGGTGGGCTGGTCCCTGTATAATAAAAAAAAATAAAAAAAAACCCTAGCCATTCTGAAAACCGAAAAATTTCAAAAACCGAAATGCATCTGGTCCCAAGGATTTCGGATAAGGGATTGTCAACCTGTACAATACAGGAAAAAGAAATATTTCTCCTAAGGGCAAACACAAAGGGAATACATTATACATTTCTTTGTACATAAGTAAAAATGTACACCCCCCCCCCCCAGTTAGCAAATGTTATTCACGAATTTGGCAATTCGAGGCCATTTTGAGAACCTAACCCCGGGAATTTGAAGGGCATGCTGTACAATATTTTCCTACATGATCTGACCTGAAAAATGACAAAACTTTAAGACAGTACTGTATTGTTCAAAATATTTACCAAGCACATCTGAAATGCCAAGAGGATTTAGCACATGTTATTTATGTAAAAACTGTGATAGGGTTTATATCTACGGTACACTGAAAACTAGGATGGGCTGATCAAACAAACTACACACCTGTAAGTGGACCCAAGTGCAAAAAAATCTTAAATTCGTCTCGCATCTCCATATGGTCACAAGAACATCTCCATTATGTATGAAACAACTAAAGCAAGTTTTCTACCTTAGTTACTTGCTTGGGCCCCTCCTGAACAAAAGTACAGAGTCCTATATGAATATCTTTATCTACTTGTATACATGAAGTGGGTGAAATAGTGGTGTAAACTATGTTTAATCACAGCTCCCCAATCTGAAATGACATCTTCGTTTACTCAAAGCTTGTCAAAATGTTGTGTGACAATCATGGGGAGGTGGTCATATGTTTGACGTTGTGTTTGTGGATAGAAGAGTTGTGCACAGGGATAGGTTTGGGGAAGCAAAGCTGCCTGTTGGTCTTTAGAAGTGTCTGGTGGGGGCATTGTCATTGCTTAGGGCGGTCAATTCATCCCTTTGATCGTTCATTCATGTTTGAGTGCGGAGCCAGGAAAAATCTTTGGTGTTAAAGTTACTTGCTAGTCTAAGATGGGTACGGTATGTTCTAGACACTAGAGGTTGTTAAAGAAGGGGTGGTATGCTGAGGTAAGAACTAGGTGGAGTGATGAAGTTCACAGTCTTTCTGAGCAGTTTGTGTGTTCTGATTTGTATGCCTGAGTTTAGTAATTTATCATTTTGTATCTACTTCATGTGTGGTTGTGTTTGTGGTTCTGGGTAATTAACTACCTGTATTACAAAGCTCATACTTCTCCAAATACTGTATCATGAAACCAGTAACCTCCATCTATCACTGTTAGGTTTAAAAGATAAACCTGCCTCTGGAGTAGAATACTGTACAGGGAGTGCTGAAATGCTTTCAACTATCAAAATAACAGTACAGTACTGTACAGTACATGGCAAACCTTCAAAATAACAGTAACCAAAATCCTGAACAAATTCAACTGACCCTCGTTTGCACTGCTGTTTCAATGTCCTCTTTATAAGCCAATTTGAGTTGTGGTCTTCTTGCTGTGGTGTGCCTGTGACAGACTGCTGACCTGAGCCTGAACCATACTTCACGTCATGAGAATGAAGACGCACCTGAGAAAGGAATTTTTTTTTTCACATTATTCATTAGGTTGGAGTAGCAGGGTTTGTTAACCCAACACTACAGAAAACAGCTCTCAACATAACCGAGCAAGGACAGTACTAAATTCAGGAACATTCCTCTCACACGAAGACATGGATTCTAGAGCTTGCATTAAATAATCAATATGAATCCATTATAATAATGAATAGTTTACTTACTTTAATATTTTAATTAAAACTGCAAAACTCAACTCTCTTTCTCTCTCCTGTGTATACTGTATAATGTACAAACATACAAAAACTATCTGGCACTTTCTCATCCAGCACAGTTTAATAACAAGCAATTTTTATATCCCTCAGTAGAAAATTACGGTATGTACTGTCTATTAATTTCCGCACAGTATACAATATATACTGTACAGTTTAATTTTAAATATATTTTTAAGTAATATGTACACCACATGACCACTCTTAATTGATTAAATACAGTATATCGTACCTGTACAATTACAGTACAGTGCATGTAAATTTCAAGAAATAAGAACATTACACTACAATTTCTAAATCAGAGAGTACTACCCCTGGATTATATTTGTTTGGTAAGGGTGGTTCTTTGTTAACCAACACACTTGATTAACTGGCACCACTAACCTCCCCCCCCCCCATCCCATGCGGTATAGCAATCTCCTTTTTTACAGTATAGTAGTACAGCATAGTGTAGTCTTCATTTTCTCGGTCAATTGAACCCGTGGAGGTCCGCGTAAAACGAGAAACGCGCAAACGAAATAACAACATATGGGATTAATTGAAATAGAGACTGGGCCGACCTCCAAACTACACTTTTTCCGACAATACGTACGTTGTAGTAAAAATAACATCTTAATTTCATGATGGTATGCACACACAATTAATATTTAAGAGAAAAATCAATAATATTACGTTTTTTAACACTTACATTGGTAGAAAAGATGGCTGGGCACACAGGGATGGGGGGTTGGTTCCGAGGCAGAGGGCAGATTATTGGCCCTCACCTGTATCACTTGTATCACTATCCACCACAGAGGCTTGCAGGGCTTCTTTGTGAAGCCCCTCAAAGTCCATATCCTCACTATCACTGACTTGGGCCGGCTGTGGTGGGTGAAGAACTCGGTAATGTTTTGATGACTGGGCGACCTTGTGCGCACCCTGCCCGCGCCGCTTCCCGCGTAAATGATGAAATTTACCGCGTAATTAAAACATTTCATTCTGGCAAGGCACTGCACAAATGACCAAACGCGTAAACAAAATCCACGTAAATCCAGACTATACTGTACATAATTTCCCAGTCAGGTTTGGCCTTCACAGTCTTCCTGGTTTACTTCATCAGGTGCATTTAGACATGCTGGAGACATTTCTCCTAGACAAGGTATGACGAACCAGAAACTGTCAAACAGCTATTTAGTCAACTTCCTTTTTATTTCAGCAATGTGGTTCATTGGGGAATAACATTCAAGGTAACTTGTTTTCACTGTGTGAGTCACAACACAAGTGGAAGTTTAAATTTTAGTCGAGAAAGTTGCTACATTTTAAGACCAGGCTTGAGTGTGCTTCTAGTAGCTGTCAGTAGTAGAAAAAGGGCTAAATACTGTACAATCTTTTATGGGCATAATATGCAGCAAGGGGTAAGGATATGCACAAAGGAATTTTGTTAAATGCTTAGACAGAAAACCCAAATAGTCTTACAAATTGTACTGTACATCATTTTACAGGTGAGGAAACCTACAATACCTGTATATTGTACATACAAATATGTTAATAGATTAAGTTGGAGTTCATTTTTCTACTATCAGTGAAACGATGACTTTGTTTTAGGAACAATTTGAATTACCACATACCTGTATCTGTTTAATCAGTCAGCTTGACTTGTGACAGGTTCAAAATAAAAACCTTGCAAATAAGTTTAATTTTATTATTTGTTAAAAGTTTGTCAGTAAACTATTTACTTATTCATTATAGTGTTCAAATACTTGTTCAATTAAGCTGCATTAACTAACCCATAGTTTTATTATGGTATACAGTAAGTTTGTTAGTACCTGTACAGTAATCCAATAACTTATTAATTACTTTTTAAAAGAAGCTGTAGCCAACACCCACCTTGTAATAAGCATTGAACAGTTTCACCACAGACCCACATGTTACATGTTGAGTACCACGCCCTGAAATACAAGCACAATACAAATCAAAACAGTGAAGTATACCAGTACTCAATAAATGGATGAGAGTAGTAGGTGGAACTATATTAAAGGTTCCAGTTATGTAAAGGCATTTAGTTTGTGCTCAAAGAAACACATATACAGGAGCTGGAATAATAATAAAAATATATATGTACCTCTACATGAAATTCACTGCTTTACAAAGAAGGTTTGGCAATGTTTCATGTTTCTGAATGGATAAAACTGTAAAGTATCTTCTAATTTTTTCCCCAGAGCAAACACCTTCCAGTGGAAGACTTTATTTCTCCTTATTTTGGGAAGATATAGCTGCAAATGATGGCAGTAGAGTTAATTATTAAAAAAAAAAAATCTTTGAAGTACTGTACAATGGAAACAATCAACTGCACAAGTGCAAACAGAGCACAATCACAGACTACTACATCCCCCAAACACTGACAATTAACTTAATGGTATGAAATTAGAAATACAGTACAGTATAAGGTGTCAATAGTGGGTATACTGTATACGGAACTGCACTCAGCCTCATTGGTATAGTAATATCTCCGTTAGCCAGAATCCCCATTAGCCGCAACTCTCCAATACAATGGAATTAAAATTGGCTTGGAATCCCCCCCCCCCCAAATTATCCCATCTCCAGATCTGTGAACGAGTTTTCGAGGTTAAAAATCAAGTGCATTTTCCGAGAAAATTCGGAAAAGGCTCCAAGAAATTTTTTCTCCAAATCTCTCCGTTCTGGGCCTGGGAATAAATATCCAGGGAATTCCGAGAGATTGCATTATGCTCCAACTCATTCCCACGTGCCAGCCCTCGCTAGCTGCTGTTTTTGCGTATAATTTGTGTTGTGCAGTGCTGTACATTACAGTACCAGCACAAAATAACTAAGAATACAGTGTCAAAGCTGTGTTAAGAATGTAAAAAGTGATTACAGTTATGCATACTCTACTGTACATTCAGTGAGAAACACTGGAGCACCTTAGCTTTCGTCATTATTCAAGACATCTTCAGGTCATGAGACCCACTAATCCCCCACCCTGACAATGGATAACCTGACATTGCATCAGGTCAGGTCAGTAGCATAACCAACAAATCCTCCATCCCAAGTGTCAAGACATGATTACAGTTATGCATTACATTCAGCCAAGTGAAGTGTCTTCCTACTCTAGGTTCAAGATGACCGCATCTGCTGGTGAGTACAGTATACAGTACAGTAGCAGATAGACATTATTTTGTTTACAGTATTAACAATATATTGTATCTGTATGTGTACAGTGGTGTTTGCATAAATAAATACAGCTCCATGCGAGATCTGTTGTTCAGACCTGGGAAAATTTTCCTGTGAAGAGTGGAAAATTCCACAGCTCCTCACATGCCCTTATTATACATTTTTTTTTTAATATACACATACAGTACTTAATTATTTCAAGACTCATTAATTAACACTAATTACCCATAGTTGACTTATAAGATTTTTAATCCAGTTTCTTAACCAGCATATAAAGGAGTACCTTTGTATAAAATCTCAATAAAATCTAAGTTTTGACCTGATAGGGCAAACTACAAGGTCAGGAATCTCTTGGAAAACAGAACACGTTTTTTCTAAGGGAGTGAAAACTAACACGTTTAAATGGTAAAGTCAGTCTATATTACCGAGAAAATACTATACTGTATATAGGATGGGCCAAAAGTCAGTATTTTATAAAAATAACTATTTTAAGGTACATGATTAAATAATACAGAACAGTACTATTAAATGTACTGTATATTTGAATAATATATTAATTTTTAAACATGAACACCAGCACCATCCCTGCAATATCTACAGATACAAGGTCAGTTTTATCTGGAGTCCTCGCCATGGTCCAGCAGTTTTTAGAACGCCAGCTTCACTCTTATAGCATCCTCAACACCAATGTCTTTCAACAAGATGGGGCTCCATGTCATTATGCAAATATTTTCAGGACATACCTTGACCAGCTTTTGTCACATCGCTGGATTTGACAAAATGGAAACAGTGACTGGGCCCTAACCCAGTTAGATTTTTTTTGCAAGTACAGAAGCTTCATAATGTATGATGTTTACAAAATGAGAGTAACAGATTTTTGCAACAGTTTCAAAAATAATTCCTGATATGCTTCCAAATGTGTTTCAAAATGCAATGGATAGGTTTGAGATTTGCAGACACACGGATGGTGATCACATTGAGTCTTCATCCTAATGTTTATACAGTATCAGAATGAAGTATATTATTCAAATACTGTATACATTTAATAGTAATATTGAATAATTTACAGGTATAGCACGCTAAATTACGGTTATTTTGATAAAATAGATAGGCACCTTTGGTCCACCCTGTATCATGATTAATTACTTTGTGAGCATTCTTGGTCCCTATCTCCCAAACTACCCCTGGGCTACTGTACATGATTAATTAACAAATTAAGATTTTCAGATTTGGACATTAATTCAAATCATTTCATCTCTAACGAATGATTCCATTCCCTAATCTCGCTTTGTATGCAGAATTAAATTTATTCAAATTTAAATTATTCTCTATTGTCTGATGTTTCCCCCATCATGGCCACCACTACTTATGGTGACTGTTAGATAAGTCAAGGAGGCAAATTAGGATTAGCCAATTCATGTCCTTAGGCTGTCAATCAGTAGTGGCATAAGCCCATAGCTCCCACTCGCTTGAAGCTTTCAGAAGTTTATACCAGGGGTACTTGTTTTAGGTATGGTATCTGTAACCGCCATCCGAGTGATTAAAGGATTAATTTGACTTGTCACGTTAAACTCGAACGTTATAATTCGGTCAAACCTGTTGAATACAATTCATTTTGGTATTTCAAATAAATCATAGCTATGTAATTAGTCTAATCTTAACACTTACAATAAGTACTTAATTTGCCATATTTCTATATTATCACAATGATAAATGATGCAATGGACACAGTCTACCTGTGTACACAATAAGTACTAGTTTAACTTACGTGTTGAAAGTCTAGAGAGAAACCAGGTTAGGTGTTGCTTCTAAGATATGGGTAGCTATAATGCCTGCCCGATCTCCTGGCCCACCCTAGCTGGTCGGTGAGGGCTGAGTCAGGTGATTATGATTATACATAAACAAGCTCCCCTTACACACTCCAACCTCCTCTGGGCCTCTCATCTCCACCATCTCAACACTATATACTGTATACAGGCAGGCACACCCAATAAACATGACATGACTTACAGCCTAACATAATGTTTGTTTATGCGTCATCATAATTCAGTACCGCTTGCGGTAACAGTATCGGTACATTATCTCTGCTCATATAAATCAACCGTGGGTGTGTATGACTGACAGCCAGATAGGTACATTAACAGTAAAATCATCACACATGACACAGGTACAGATACATGCTGGAACCAATACATGCCCAGTACTTGCCAACAGTGTGCAACAGAGATGTAACTGGCCATCCAAGTAGCTAACAGACTGGTCAGTGGTTAACAGGATAAAGTAAAGTAAGTACTGTACGTACAGAGGTGCAAAAATATAAACCGTTTTAAAAAGTAGGATGACCTATGAAAGTTTATTTCATTGAGATTAAGTAACAATTCTTTTGTTTTGGCAGTCGAATGAGTAACTACAACATTAACCATTTTCAGTAACCTAAACAATAAGTAATGGCTTTCTTAAGATAAGATCAGTTTTATTATACTTATCAGGTGGCTAACACAAGAAGTTGTTCGATTACTTTTATTTTTTTCACAGATGTTCTTTGGATGATAATAACTAATGAAAATCATAACATTTTAATTATGAGCATTTTGAGGGATTTAATCTATGATCAAAAATCAGCTGTAGTGAGCAAGGATTGAAGGATGAGGGAATTTGCGGGGTAAACCACACCGAAAAACTGATCATATGACATCAAAATGATGTTTGTACATGCTTTGCACGCGAGACATCACTGCAGCATTACCGCCGAGAAAACAAAGCAGTGTGCGCCTAATTTTATACCAAATGAAGAATTTGCACAAGGAAATGATTATCACATCAGAACTCACTGATGAAAATAGAGTAAGAAAACAAACACCCAAACAAATAATACGTCGGCGGGTCACGTGTCAATATTAACCTAATTCTTTACCGTAAATATTACGCTGAAAAATCTACCATCAGCGAGTGTTGTCATCTGCTCTTAGTTTGTTTAAGTTCAACAACTGAGCCGCTCGATCCGAGCGTACTCTCACGTTCACAAAAAAAGTAAAATTACACCAAGACACTTCAACAAAGTTGCTTTTATTGGTACCAGGAATAAAAAAAAAAAGTACTTTCTATTTAATATGGGGGGAGGGGTTAGGAGTCCAGGGGGCGAGGTAGTTAGGTAAGGTTGCAACTATATCTTGCGCTAGTCAGGCCGCACCTCGATTATGCGGTTCAGTTCTGGTGCCCCATTATAGAATGGATATAAATTCACTAGAGTTGGAGCAGCGAAGAATGACAAAAATGATTCCGGGACTTAGAAGCCTTCCATATCAGGATAGGTTAAAGAAACTTAACTTGCATTCCCTAGAAAGACGAAGAGTGCGGGGCGATATGATAGAAGTATTTAAGGGTGAAAGGAATCAAAAAAGGGGATATAGATAAAGTTCTTATAATATCCGAGCAGGATAGGACTCGGAGCAACGGATTCAAGTTGGATAAGTTTAGGTTTAGGAGGGAGATAGGAAGAAACTGGTTCACAAATAGGATGGTGGACGAGTGGAACAAGCTTAGCAACTTTGTAGTAAGTGCTGGAACTCTGGAAAGTTTCAAAAGGAGGCTGGATAGATTCATGGATGATAGAGAGTGGTAGTAACTCTCGACAGGAGCTGCCATGCACAGGCCAACCGGCCTATTGCAGACTCCTTATTTTCTTATGTTCTTATGTAAGGTTAGGTAGTTTTTTTTTTTTAGTTTAACAAATTTATTGACAAAGCTTGGAGTACAGTTTGCCTATTCTAAGTAATTCAGTCAGGTCTTGACACTGAGGGCAGGTTTCTTTGGTTAGTAAGGGGAGGTTCTATTAGGTTCTAATAAATGTCGCCTCTTTTAAAACTTACAATAATGATGCGAATATCTGTAGTATAAATGAAATAAATTAAACAACACCAGAATTACCATATACCGGTACTGTATAGTATACTGTATTTTACCGCCTATATATCACTGGATTACTTAAGATTGAAATGACAAATATCTGTACGAAACCAGAAAAATACATACCATATGTACACATGAATAGTGTGAAGAAACAAATGAGTCCGCTTAGTTTCATTGTCGATGGATACACTTATTTTCCTGGTAATCTTAACCCTTTTACACTAATGTTTCATGTGTGAGCCTGCCACTAAGCCGCCTCACATGCACACAGCCTAGTAGCCACCTTCACTCCCGACTCCCGTCAACGTCACCAACGTCAACACACGTCCATCCTTCTGATTGGTGGAGAGACTCTGGTATTTTCAGACCCTAGAGTTACACACAAAAAATTATTGTTATACTTCTTGTTTTTATCGTGCATTCAACATTTTACTCGTTCTAAAGATTTCTTACATAATTATACTTACATATTCATTACATTAACCTCGTTATATGTACTATATTTAACAGAGGGAACCTACATACTAAAGAGCCCAAATAACTATCAGATGGGGTGGGGGAATGTGTGGAGATTGTATTACGCTATGGATCTGGAGTGGGATTAAGGCAGTAAGGATACAATTCTACCCTTCCCTCTTGGAAAACCCATATGAAGGCCTTGGTTCACAAGAATGTAATATTTAAAGTCGTCTGTTATTTGACCTTCCATACGTTTAAAAATATCCTCCTCCCCCAGTAGTATAGCATCTATAGGCAGATGTCATGAGCGAAAAAGGTTATGCAGTACGTATATATTACCCATGGAATATAATTTTTAATGTGCACATTATTTAATTCACGTTAAATTGACATTTATTTACATATTCTCTAGCATGTAAAGTAAAAATAAATCAATACAACTATTATCGTATGCTACAGATTGTTGTCAGACATTAGCAGCCAACGATGGCAGCAATCTAGTACTCCGGTGATGCAACCACAGCTGATCATTCCAACTATATTATTGCAATTTTTTTCCGAGAAATAAGAAATCCATCACACATCATTTAATTTTACATGACAAATAACTATGCTTAAAATATTATAATACACAAAGGAGTTTCTAGTATATTCCACGACTATAGGCTAAACCCGTCGTTTTAAGATCAGTCTTTATACCCATTTGAGTTAGAGCCTTGCGTTCTAAACTCCTCTCCTATTGGATAACTAAACAAGGAAGTGACGTTTCTATCTCAGGAACCAATCAACTCTTTCCCATAGGCACTGGATTACTATGACGTCACAAGAATCCTTGGGTCACTTGGGTGTTTGTAAACATAGACACGTTGGAAAACTTCCACATTATTATGTGAATACTTTTCCCATTTTAGAGGCAAGCAAGTGCTTCTGATTATGGAGGTCGACGACTTTCAATCTCAAGAGCCTGAACTCGAGATGGAAGTAAGTATATATGATTTAATTTAGAATTTGATTAAGATATCTTTGTTCATACAGAAAACGAGATTCACCATTTTCATTTCTTGTTCACTGCTGAGTCATTCCTTTGTGATCTGCATGATATTGACGTGAAGCAACCAATTCCAATACAAATGGTGAGCTATGGTATTGTGGACCATTATCATGTTTGGATCTAAGAGAACAAGCAGAATGGGTGCAGTTTGTAATTCGTATCTTGATTGGGTTGTCTAGTCAAGGTTCTTTTCTTGAAGTATCGTCTAAAATGTTGCCAGCTGGATGTGAGTAAGCTATATTAATTTAACCACCTCATACTTCTTTGCAATAAATTAGGGTAAATATATAGACAATACTGGCTACTCGACCAATCAACGTGGCAGTTTATCTACATTGGAGGTGTTTCTTATGCATTATATATGCAGTGGTAATAACTGTTTCTTCTGCAAATGCTTTGTTTTTGAGTTATGGCACACTTCTCCTTCAATATTAATACCTCACAAAGCAGGTTTTGAAGAAGAGGGGAAATGTGGAATAAAGACATGTAAAACAGTATTTTGCCATATGTTTTGTAAGTTTTTAAGAGAAAGTGGAAAATTGCAGCAGTGTTAGAAACACTAACCAAACCTTACAAAAAAAAACTTTACCTGATGTATAAAATTGTTATCCATAAGTCAAAATCAAAGCTCTTACTTCCCCAAGAAACAATTACCACCTGTGGACAGAGAATAAACATTAATCTTGTTACTTGGTCGAAGAGCCAGTGTTTTCTTTATATTAGCCATGACTTTTAACATAACAGTTTCATGAGGGCATTGCAAGATCGTTGTGCAAGTTTTGGCGACTGCGAGCTTGATGAGTAGTCCAGCCTTAGCAGCTACCTGACAAAATATCATCATTACAGATCAAAGCTTTCTTGAGGAACATTAAATAATGCATGAGGAATGTATTTTACGTCACTTCACTTTTAAGAGATTTTATGTTTTTCCAAATAGAGAGGAACAGCTCTCAACCCTTTGTCTGCCTGCCATATTTATATAGCTACCTTTTTTGGATCGGCTTCTCCTTTCTGAAGATTTTTTTCTATTATTTTTGTATACAGACGGTGGTGATCAATTAGCAACTCATCATTTTTTTTACGTCCGACACAATCTCTCAGTGTGAACAGATTAATTGAACAAATAGTACATTACATCTTTCCTGATATTACTGTGGTAAAATTTTTTAGAGTAAAGTACACTATGATTTCAATTATGGTACCATAAGCACCCAAACTGTAAGTAACATTCTGTAGCTAGCAAGTAGCAAAATGTTATTACAATCTGGAATTTTTCATTCATAAAATGAAGAAAACTAACCTACCAGACATAACGCAACTTAAGTTACTACAGTACGTACAGCAATTATTTTTATTTTATTCTTCTAAAGTAGAATAGAATTAATTTCTGTGAATAGAATCATTAATACATTCTAAGCATGGCATTGGTGGCAAGGTCATCTTTGGTCATCTTCCTCTGCCCATTTCTCATGTCAAAGCCAATGTCTCACTAAACACATTCCTTGTGAATATATATATATATATATATATATATATATATATATATATATATATATATATATATATATATATATATATATATATAGTGGGATATACACACACAGTGGTCCCTCGATTAACGAACACAATTGGTTCCACAGAGTCGTTCGCTAACCAAAAATTTCGTTAACTGAATCTATTATTTCAATGGGATATTGGGTAATTGGTTCCAACTCACAGAAAAAGTACATACAAAGTACTGTATTGTATACCAGTAACAGAATTAACAATACATTAAATTTAAACTAAATACAGTACTGTACTGTACAGTACGCTGTATAATAATAAATAAAAAACAATAGAATAGTACTATATTTAACTTACTTTGAGGTGTGTATGTCGTATTCCCGGCAGCTTTGTTTACATATCAAACAGGTGATTGTAGAGGCAGTCGATGATGACATGCCATATTCTTTACAGAGTGCATTGGTTCTAATGACTTCTTCATGTTTCATAATAATTTCTGCACTGTATATTATCAATATGTGAAAATTTTTTCAGAATTACCAATAATTTATTGTAAAAATACAAAAATATTCAAGAGACCAACAAACTGGATGTTCACTCCACTGTAAACAAAGTTAAACTGAGAAGTGTTGGTGGATGATTCGATCAGCTGATTGGCACACAAAAACTGTTCCCTGTACTGTATATATTATCAATATGTTAACTAAATTAGAATGACCAATAATTTTAATATGAAAAATTGCAAAGATATTTAAGAGCACAACTTTCTTGATATTTACTTCACTGGAAACTAATGTAAACATAGAACCAATTACTGTATTGGCGGACTAGCCAATCAGCTGATGCGCACAACAAAGCGTGTTTCTCGTAAGGCTTTCGTTAATCGAAGTTTTGTTCGTTAATGGAATTGAAAATCCTTATGGGAGCGAATTCGTTAATTGGACCGTTCGTTAATCGAGGGACCAGTGTATATATATTATATTACTGACATTATCTTTATGCATTTAATGACTAACAAAAGTCTGAATAGATGAAAAATATTAACTCTGAACGAGTATATACCTGTATATTAACCGTGTGGCCGACCATTTACCGTCCGAGATCTGGGATGTAAACAAATAGTTTGAAGTGCGCAAGACCAACAAGAACATCATTTACCATGGACCTTGGCACGGCCTAAGTAATACCTGTATCCCCTTATTAATTCAAGGTCATCATCGTCATTTAGAACGTATCTTCTTTCTCAGAAGGTTCGCTGACGATGACGTTGCTCGGCCATCTTGTTGACTAAAAGTACTCTCAAACTCTAGAAGTCCTCCCTCACCACTTTTAATCTTAAAAGTTATTTTAAGACAAAATCATTTACAAACAGCTTAACGTCTAGTGAGGTTTTAGCAGTTAAAAGTAAAACATCGACATTACTAGTGACTTTTATCTCTAAACGGCCTTATGTCTACTGGCCCTGGTGCACAGTAGATGTAAAACAATTACTGAAAACTTTTTTCTTATCTTAAGAACAAATCAAATTGGGTGAAGGAATAGAACTTCTCTTATATAGGTTTTTTTTCCCTCTTTTCTTGTACGTAAATAAAGATGTTGCCACTTGCCTGCTTTACTGTTATCATATCACTGTTGACAAATGGTATTGCATATATCTCTCACTTTTGTGTCTTGGGTTCATTCCCGGGGACAGGAAGCCGCAGGATAGATGTGAGAAGGGTTTTATCCAGTTTGCTCCCTAGCAAACATTGCAGGTTTTCTAGTGGTAATCCGGTTTCCTCCTATACAGTACAGCACTAATACTAGACAAAATGGGGCAAAATAAAAAACAGTAACAAAATACAGATCAGCTGCCTAGCAGCTTACAAGCTAATAAGTGGTGAAATGATTATAAAAATTGAATAAATATTATTAAATATTAACTCGTAGCTAATGTAGTTAAAGTATGGATTGGAAATGGAATTTGTTAGACAGACATAACAACTACAGTATAACTTTAGGATTGTTCCTTCATCAATATGGGACCCAACAAATAATTATAGGTAATACTGTACAGTACTGTATGGTACTCTAGTAAAGTATAATAGTTGATGTATTAAATATTATGCCATTTGATGGAAAAATGCTTAAGCCTCAAGTATTTTCTGTGTAGATGGGATACTGAGTACAGTGTACAATACAATATAAATTTAGACTTCTGCAATATTATAAAAGTTTTTTAAATTAAATTTTTTTACAGTATACGTAGTACTTAGTACTGTAGTAAAATATTCCAATACCATACTGTAATAGTGTATTATCCTTGGACTGCTTAACTATGCAATTTGGGATGATATACTAGAATAAAAATTGTTACTGTACCTTCTCATTATTACAAAACTAGTGTCAAATTTAAAAAAATATTATTTCAAACTACGAGGATTTTCAAATACAGTACTGTAAAGTCAATGAACTGTGAGTTAGCATTGTAAGTGGTTTGGTTCCATGATTGTATTAATTATGTAGATGCCAGTGATCCCAAACTTTCTAATTTTTTAACACCTGTAATTATTATTTAAGTACTTTCTGGTAGTGTTAGTTCATTCCACAGATTTTTTCTCAATAATTCTGTATAATTTCTTTAATACTATATGTGTACTACAGTATATTGTTCTCTGAATTTATAATACAAAATAAATAAGAACCTGAAGTGCCTCACTGTGAGTCCACAATGTGACTTACAGCTCCTGTGAGTTGCCATTTTTGGTTTAATTTGTCTGGAGGAATAAAAATTTTTTTACATTTACGTTTATCCTCTTTGCCACTGATCGGCTTAGTTAGCCACTTGGGCGGTTGGTCATGTCTCTTTTACATACTGTTGGCAGATACTGAGCATGTACTGGCTCCAAAATGTATCTGTACCTTATTCAATTCTTCTTGGAAAAATTAATTAATATGATTTTGTGTAGCAAGTCATTTAGGGTTTGGTTTACTGATACAGATATCTCATTTCAGTATCCATCTTTCCACTATTCTCCTGTTGGTTCTTAGTTGGTGGCCAATAATGTTTTCATTCAAGCCATTTGAATTGGTACAGTAAAGGATGCCCTTTGTCATATGTTGATTTGTGTTTCTTGAGACTTTCCATTTTCCTTCACCAATCACTTGTGTATCACTTACTGGTGTTTGAGGGGGGCGTGGAAGGGTGTTTGCTGAGTTAGGCAGATTATATTCTACCTGGGATATCAACTGTTCTTGGCTGTAGAATAATAGAAAGAGGGACTTGTAATTCTTATTCAAAGACATCAATATCTTTTTTGACGTATTGTTCAAATAATTTATATGTTCTGAACTTCTGATACCAGAAAATGTATACAAAAAGCAAAACTGCTTAAAAATGTAATTAATAATGATATATCTGTCGGATAGCTACAGAAGTCTTCAGTCCTCTCCTGCTTATTACTATACTGTATAACCAAGAAACAGTTCATTTTAATAAGCTCAACACTGGAGAAGTATTATTTTCCAATAAGAAATTATAAAACATTTCATCTGTTGTAGACTATTTTCGATACGATTTATTTGCATATATACAGTAGTTTGATTAGGTATTGAAAGCCAAACAGCAAAGTTAATTTTTTTAAATAATTTTTTGTATTTGTTGAAGACAGTTTAAGAGATTTATGAAATAATGTAGTGGCCCTACAAAGCATTGTACGGTACTGTAGTTCCTTGTAGTAACAACACACAGTTATGACATTATAAGAAAGCTAGTTTATGGAACCTATAAAAGCTATTTAAAATATGGTGTTATAAACAATACAAGTACAGTAGTCGTAAAATTTGAAGATAGGGCTCTATGGGGCCTTCAGAAACTGTTTAAAAATTAATTCTTGGTTATAAACAAGCAAAAAAGACACAGCCAAGAAAACTACAGGGCCTATGAGAAATTACTGTAAAAATATAAAACTTTGTTAGACAGGTACAGTACCATGATACATAACAGTCAGCAAAGGATGAAGATGGGTCTAAGAAGGTGATGGGGCCAACAAATCTAAGTCAATATTATATTACTGTATTGACAATACTGTACTGTAGTCAGCAAAAGCTGTTGATGTTAGGGTTTGTGAATTAATGTGAACAGGATTAGTGAGATTAGATTGCAACAAAGCTGGTACAGTACAATCTGTGAAGGAGAGGTCATTATCAAAGTTTAAACGAGTGAAGCATTGTGTAAGGTCAACAATTGGACGAAGGTGGCTTTGTTTTGTTTCTCCTTTCCATTGAATGTAATCAATTTGCTTTGCCCCATGAACCTATAAGATATCATCAGAATGTTTCACAGTTTGATACTTAATGATATAGACATTTTAATGGTATAATTAAAAAACAAATACCCTGTATTACTGTATTTGATAAACTTTCTGCTGCCTTTGCTTTTGTTCTAAAATTTATTTAGAACGATTTATTAAAGAAGTATACCTGTGTTGTAAATTCTTTGTACTTGTATTTACTGTCTTTTTATCAATTTTCTGCTGCTTATCTAGCCCAGATTATGTAGATTTTGTTGAATTCTTAAATCAAGATACCCCCTTTTGCTCCCTCACAACTGAAGTCTGTTGAATGGAGCCTATGATGTGTAATTGTCTGGGGCCTACAAAACCATTAATTCCATCATGATCATGGGTGAATTAGGATTATAAGACTTCCAAGAATTACCGATATACAGTATATTGTACAGACTGTGAGTATCACAGGATGCTTCAGGATCATAGATGCGAGGGTTACAAATCTTGTGAGGGTCACAGGGTGTGCAAGTGCTGAGATAACTGGAAGCTCTGTGTGTAGGAGAAATTGTGAGGACTTAAATTTATTATGTAATAGGACTTGGTATTGTATTGTATTGTACCAGAGTTTTGAAGATCCTGTTCTTGGATCCACTAACAGATCCTAATAACTATTTCATTGTACAAGTATTTGTGTCTGTGAATGTACAGTATTATGAATGCACACATGTATTGTAAATGTATCTTGTGTGTATATGGTGCACATTTGCAAGTGCCTGAATGGAACAAGTACTGTACTGAAAATATTTTTTTCTATGCATTCAGAACCCTTGTTTCCAAATCCTTTTTTATGCGTCAGTGGAAATGTCTTAACACTGTAGAAACATCTCTACAATATTAGGGGTTCATTTAAGTCTGTACATTGTTGTAAACTGATTTTATTTCAAAATAACATTCGTAGGTCATGAAAATGGTTTTCCTATGTAAAAAAAAAAAAAATACATAATTGATAACTACTCGGTACAGTATAGTATTCACAAGGATGGTCTAAACTTTCTTTCATTACCCAAAGATGCTGAAAACATGAACAGTAATATTAATGGTTTGTATTGAAAAATCTTATTTTTGTTAAACTAGTTCACTGTAGATTTCATATATGATTAATGCAAAAAAATAATCTTAATAAACTTGCCAAACAAAAATTAGCTGTTCATCGAATATTTTATGATTTGATATTAAGGCACTTTTTGCCATTGTAAACATTCACATATTTGTTGACTGTGTGCCGAGGAAACGAGAAAAACAAAATGTATTAACTCCAAACTATTTTATTGAATATACTTGATTTTTGCACACTTATGTTTTGTATAAAAGAATGTAAGCGAATCTGATATGTACTGCCCGTAAGTTGTCAGATTGTTTACCAATAGACCTAACATGAAAGGGCAAGGGAGTGTAAGTTTATAGTTCATTGCAAGCAGTTTAACATTTTGTAAATTGTACATACAGCATACAGGACGAGAGTAGTGTAGTAGATCTGATGGAACACGAGTAAGGAAGCTTCTACTGATGAGTCAATGGTAGTAAAGTTTGAGAGTACGTGTATGAACGGTAGCATTTACTGAATACACTGTCCGTGACCAGCGCCGGTAGCTTCGTGCTGCATTACACTGCTGCGCAGTAATCATTAACCTACTTTTCTGTAATTCACACATTACCCAAGGTCATTTTAATAACAATTGTACAATCTTTCAGGATGAACACTTCAGATGTAAATTCTTTTCCAACATTTTGAATTTCCGACACTGAAATATGACGGACCGAGGTTAGCAAGTACTTAAGTTTTAAATCTGTTTTACACGGGTAATTTGGGTTTGATGACCGTCAGAAAGTACAGGGCAACCCAGACTGTTGGTAAGAAACCGGCGGTGAGGGAGACTGGCGTCCTCTTGTGACACAACCCACCTTGCTACTTAACAACTGGGGAGGAATGATCACCGCTTTCTCGTAATTCATCTCCTGTAACGTATGACTACGTGTGACTTACCCGAAACTAAGTCATTCTATTTGATTCCACACTATTGGGGTATAGTTTAAACGATGAAATACACGTATTAAGATATTTGTAAAGCTTGGATATGTAGATGGCAATGTTTATCTGTTGAACCCGGTTAAGACAGAGTATTTTGCTTACCGCCTCTTTTCTTTCATGGATATAGTTATTTACATATTGTTTTGCAGATAAATTTCGTCTAAATGTGTAATTACAATTCATGATTGCTGTATTTTAATATTAGTTCTGTGGATTCTTGTTGGTAGGGTAGTGTATGAGAAGAGGAATTGTACCTACTGCGTAATTGTTCAACGACATCCATTGTCAAGCTTTGCAGAATAATGTTAATTAGTTGTAGATGATATCTACCTCTTTCACCCACATTTATGTTTTTAATGTGGTCTGAAAAGATTTTTTTATGTCTAGGTTATAATTTGACAATTCGTCGGAGAAGGCTTTGGCGCAGACAGCACGGCGTAAATTCGCATGGGAATTTCGATCTTATTGTTTTCGCGCGACTGTTTAACTTTTTCACTCACACAAGTGTTTTGAGAATTCATGGGTTACGCTGCAAACCAACAATATGAATATTTTTTATTTTTGGTATATTTTATTACATTTTGAAAGTCATATCAGGTCTTAACTTAAAGGGGTGGTTAAATTCTTATGAAAGTCAAGGTGGAAATGTATGCCAGTAGAGGCCAGGTTGATGTGCGCGGAGAATCGGGTGTCAGCGGGTGTAGTGCGTAGTTACGATGTCAGGCTTTGTCGGCGACGGGGCTCGGGAGAGGTAGGACGCACTGCTGTACTCGTACATATACCTGTGAGAACCTTCTGCGTGTTTAGTTATTTTTTCACCACAAGTGCATCAGAGATATTCACCATAAACTGATGGGGTACACTGTCCCTTTACCCCACAAAACGACGTATAACAGCCCAGAGGATTAAAAGTGCCGGCAAGTCGATGGAGTGCTTGTAAGACGGCCTGGTGCGCAGTATACCACAACCGCAGCATGTATTCTCAGATTTCACGCTTATTTTAGACGTTGTATGTATGTGAGATTTTACTTACGTATATTATAAAGTTGCCAGAAATTTCGATTAATGTTACTTAAACATCTAACTTTGTTAAACATTGTTTTCAAGTATGTTTGTGTTCCCCGTCAATGTGAAGCTGTTTACAGGTATTTTTTCGCATATCTCAATTCGATTATTGGTTTATTCAACGAGATTAACATCCTGAAAAGGTTATTGATTAGAAAGTCTATCACATTAATTTGATAATGGTGAAGTTACCTAGTGATTGTATCTTGCACCTGTCAATAGTATTTTGGTAAAGGTGTAGAATATATCCACAATATTCAGTCACGTTGGACCAATCATTGGTGTTCATGAGAGTACCTGTATAGGTACAGTATTCTTGTTTAATGTCCGTGAGGTGAAGTTCGTATTTAAGACTGGCCTCGTTGTGTGTACAGTGGTATATAAAGTATTGGATAGGTATATGATTGGTAATTATATAGGACTAACCCGCAGGCGAAATTGGTTGAAAACAATTATAAAAACGCCGAATTTTCATTTTTATATTATAGTGGACATTGTTGTAGTTTGTGGAAATATGTTTAAAACGGATATTTTTAAAATAAACGCTACTTAACATTTGTGGTTTTGAAGAACAGACCTAACATTACCTAACTTCCCCGATGTATTAAACAGAAAGAACTTACTATGATATGGTGAAATTTGAGGCATTTCTGGATGCGAGATGAAATGGCCGCATCGGTCATTTCATCTCGCGTCCAGAAATGCCTATATATGGTGGTCCTATATGTTAACCATATGATTAAGTATCGTGTTGGCTTTCATGGTGAATTTGTATTTTTTTTTTAATATAGTAATTTTATTTACATGTATTTTAATAATTTCCCACCTTCATGTCTCCTGTTATTGCTGTCTGTAAAAATGAAGACCTAACCTAACCATAAATATCTTATCCAATTTTATTTGAACAATAATATTTTACTTGAAATAGTTCAAAACGAAAATATAATCAAACCTTAAATATCTTACCATAAGTTAACTACACCTTTTACCTATAGACATAGATTATTGAATGGGTTGCAGATTAGTTCTATTGCATCAATGCTCCATATGTACATTAAATTAATAATTACTGAAAAGGAATATTCAAACCTACTCGCACATGGCATCTTCAGAAGAGACTAGCTGCAACTGAAGAATCACTTGGCCCCTGTGTCACTACATGCCACTGATTGGCTGAAATAATTGAATTTAGAATCTCTTAAGATGCTTATTGGCAGATTGCTCATGATAACTGAGAATGGCACAACAGGGCAGAGAAAAATAACTCGGTTTCTTGTATATGAATCTGTGTTGGTATAAATTACTGGTAAAATCCATTTGTGCAAACTTTTAATCTGTGTGTTCATGCATTGTACTATATTCCCCGAGTCTTTCTACAAGGTCAATACAGTGGTCCCTCGGTTAACGAACCCAATCCGTTCCAGCAGGTTGTTCGTTAACCGAATCCATTGTTTTAATGGGTTTTTGGGGAATTGGTTCCAGCTCACCGAAAATTTCCTAAATTCAACAAAAATGGTAGAAAAGTTCACTTACTTTGAGGTGTGTATGTAGAAGGCTCCTGGATGATGATGATGATGGGAATTAGAATGGGGGTGGAGGAGAAGGAAGAAGAGAAGGCATTGGGGTGGAAGAGAAGTCACTCCATGGCACCATTTCACCCATAAAATTTTAGTTCTCTTGGTGTATTTCAAGATTATTTTCTTTAAATCAACACGGCACTGCATTATATATTGTCAATATGTAAAATATATTTCAAAATGACCAATAATTTGCTTGGAAACAGAAAAAAAGCATTTAGTTGAAGAGAGTCTCAAGCAAGATGTTACCTCCAGTGAAAACAGAGAGACTAACTCCTGTTTGCTGTGTTAAGAGGCTGGATGCCGCGCATTAAACTAGTCACTTTACCTTCAATTATGTTCAATAATTGTTAAAATGACTAAAAAATTGAATATTAAACTTTTAAAATTATTGAATAGTATAAACTTCTTGATGTTTACTAAAATAGTAAGGAATTTAAGCCCTAGAACCGATTAATGTATTGGCGGACTGATACTAAAGCTGGTTGCCTGGCCAGTGCAAGCGAAAACATGTTGAGGTCGGTTCGTAAGAAATTCGTTAACCGAATTTTTGTTCGTTAACCGAATTTTTGTTCGTTAACCGAATTGAAGATTCTTATGGAAGGCAGTTCGTTAACCAAGGGATCACTGTATCTTAAATCACTGAAATGGGCTTTAATCATATATTATTCCATAATTTTTCTAACCTAACCTAGAGTAAGATTTGTTTGGCTGTACAGTACAGTACAGGGGGTATTTGAAATCTGAATGCAAATTGGTATCTACAATACTGTATTTACAATTCATATTGCTGGGTGTGCTGTGGAAAGAATGATTTAGAAATCGATAAGGGAGCATGTGGACATTAACAAAATGCAGTTGGGTTCATGTCAGTCGGGACTACAGAAACAATATTTATAGCTAGGTAGCTACAAGAGAAACACTTATGAATATTAAATTCTTAGTGTTTGACAACTGATTGCTAAACTATAACGTCACCAATATTTGTTTCTTTTACCTCTTTTTGTATGTTTTTCACCAAATGTGAAATTTGAAAAATTTTAGGGTCCTGTATAAGGTATAGTGGTAGAGCATTTCAGTGAATTCATCAATCACAGAACTATGCCTTATGATAGCTGGAATAAACCACAACAATTGTAGAATTGTACTGTAGAATCCCAGTTATCCAGCACCTATGGAGATTGAGAGAGGTGCCAGATAAAGAGTTTTGCCTCACCATCATCCATTTTTTATCAACTTTTCTTACAGTGCTGTATTTATGGTTACAATATACAAATATTTACAGCATTCCAGTAAGATTAAAAGGAATGAAGTAGTGGGAACTCTCCATGTAAAACTGTACTAGGTATACTGTATTTAATTCCTTTGTCAGAATTTCATATGAAGCATCAATCTAAGAATGTAGTCACTCAAAAAACTATCTTTACTTGGGAAGGGGGGGGGGGTTGATGAATTTCAGAATGAACATTGTGACTACTGTTGTCTCGGTAGGACTGCCCAAATCCTTCATCTGTTGTGTCAGTAGGACTGCCCAAATCCTTCATCCATTGTTATATTTTTTCAATAAAATTTTGTAGTGAATTTTTTTAATTTTGAGTGACTGTACAGTACATGTTCATAAACTTTAAGAAATGGTTGTCAGTTGTTATATGAAACATTCAAGGATTAGTTTTGATAGAAGTATTTCAGTGGCTCCAAAGCTGATGCCAAGATGAGAAATATAAATATAAAACTTGACAAGCAAAGAAGGCAAGAAAATAAATAAATAACATATTTTAACTAATTCTAACCAAATTAGTCATTCGCTAATTTTTTAATTTATTAGAAATTATATTTGTTTATTCAGATACATCACTGGAGACTGTAGTTGATATAGATGAAGGAATGGTTCTTTTACAGGGCAGCAAGCGGGAAGGGACCAAGCGAGGCAGGAAACCAGGACGAAAAGCCAAGTCTGATATGAAGGCCAAACTGGGTACGTCCCATTTCTTAAACTTAATTTAAAATACCCTTTAACAATCATTTCATACAACTGTACTTTTGTTTAAAATAGTATTTGTATGTTTAAGGTGAATCTTGCGTGTGATCAGCTTATTATAGATTTTTTTTTTGCATTGTTTCAGAGCCCAATGCACCTAATGCAAATACAGTACAGTACTGTATTGGCATTCCCTGACTTAAGAAGGGTATCCTTCCAGAAGAATCTTTTGAAAGCCAAAGTAACTACCTACATACAATACATTTTCCCTTAGATTTATACAGTTACAGAGTACGTACCTGTATATTCTAGAAGCTGAGACATGTTCTTACAAAAAAAAGATTTGTTTTTATTTTACACAATGATTATAAGCTAATACACTATACTGTACATATTAAGTTAATAAATAAAATACATGTACTATAGTAATAATTTCATACCTGTACAGTAGTACAGCATGCCCTTCAAATTCGCGGGGGTTAGGTTCTCAAAATGGCCGCGAATCGCTAAATCCACTACTGTAATAACATTTGCTGACCAGAGTCGATAATAATATCAATATTAACATGGCTGAATCAGTTGAGAGCCTGAGCTCTGTTGAAGGCACAGAACAGTCCATAAGGAACTGGAAATTGCACCACTGCTATTTCACCATGGGCAGTCTTCAAATCTTTAAAAATATTCCCTTAAAGCCATTAGAGAAAAATATGTCGGCACACACGGGTGCAAAATGTCCATATGCCTGGTGAGCCAGGCATCCGACTCGTCTCGGCTGACCTCCAGTCACTATTTCTCATGTGTTAACAGTAATATTCATCCACACCTCCACACTTTCTCTTGCAACCCTTTTCACCTTTATTATATAGAATTCACATATGAAATTTAAGACTACTGAAGAAAAACAACTTTTCACATTACTCTGTATATTTAAGAGTAAATGAGGAGAATTTGGACAACTAGGCAACTGACAGAATGACTGTGTGTAGTGGTGGAGAGATGGTTTACAGTACTGTAATTGTTTTCAGTTGGTGTGAGGAGGAAGTTATACGTGATTATAGCAGAATGATGGCATTGAAAGCTTATTTGTAATGTGTTATAATAACATGAAAGAGTTAGAGGTTAGTGAAATAAATAAACATACTGGTCATAAAAAAAAGCCTATTTTTTCTAAAAAAAGTTTTTGTGATATAGCTCGAATGCGACGTCAGCAAATGCTACCGAGGTATGTTAATTCCTAGCCAATTCGCCAGGCCAACATACAGGCAATTAAAAGCCTGTAATGAACCAATCCCAATCTTTATAATAAGGTATAGTACTGTATGTATCAGGCCTGAGAATTGTCTGCCAGTAGGTAGACTTCCAACAGTATTTATTGCTAGAATTATCCATTAAGTAGGTCAATTCAGATCTGATGGAATCCTGTACTTATTTTCATATTTGAGTGCATAAGAGTGGAGCCAGAGAGGCCTGATCTGACATTTGGTAGATTAAAATATGATTTTAATAGCTGTAATATTTGAGATGTAGGTACAGAACTGCATCTAAGTTCTTGTTTTGCCTTTTCCCCTTTGTAACATTATTGAAATTTATGTATAATGTAGAAAATACAAGTACTGTATTGAGGTTTATGCACTGTATACGTTAGAAAATTTATGTAACTTCATACCTTTGGATCATCCAAAAATTATGAAATTGAGAAAAAAAAAGGCATATAGTTAGGAATATTGTTCCCCTTAACTGTTTAAGCACAGATAGTCATCAATGAAGGATTGGTGATTAAAACATCATGCATGTGTACCTGAGAAGTTAATTTTTTCTAGTGATTTTCAGAACGCAGCCGGCAAAGTGCAAGAGAATGCCGTGCCCGTAAAAAGTTACGTTACCAGTATTTGGAGGAGCTAGTAGCCAATAGAGAGAAGGCTGTATTTGCTTTACATCGTGAATTAGACCAGGTTAGTAAAGTAGCTTTTAATACTATAACAATTACAGTACCCTGTTACACCTCTCTGATTTGACAAAAAATAAAAAGCTTAAATTTTAAGGGGTAACCTGTTGCACCCTCACTTATCTAGTTGGTAGTAATTCTATGCAATCTTATTGACCTCTCAGGGTAGTATATCATATTTCATAAAGATAAGTAGGTTGTACAGTACTGTACTCTCATTTATTCCTTTATTACATGGTAGGAGGTGATGAAACTGCACAAATAATATTGACTAAATTTGGGTGCACATACTATGCGAACACTTTCTCTATCCCATAATTTGGGGAAAGATATTCCTAGCTTTTAAGGTGGCTGGCTATGAAAAGTCTTATGTGGATAGCTATGTTAATTCTGTTGATCCCCCCATAATGCTGTCAAGTAGAGGTCCAAGTACTGTACAGTGGATTCCAAAATAAAATGTGAAGTGGCATGATAGTAGGATGGGGAGGCAGTTTGGCTGTTGATTGGCAAGTGACAGCCAAAATTTGTAAATTAGTTGTAACCTAATCCATGGGAACCATGTACGGTACACTCAACAAAAACTTCTCGAACTCCTGGGTACGATGGATGTGAGAATGAGCAGAATGGGGCTTGCCAACTCAAGGAATTTTTGGCGAGAGTGTACACTGGTAAAAGAATATATGGTACTGTACTGTAGACAGTTGCAGCCATATGTAACTCATTCTTCCATGCACACGTACACACACAATTAAAAATTTGTTTTTACGAGGCAGTAGGAGTAAACCCGACTGATATTTGGGCCAACATTGTTGATATCCGGGATTCCCATAGCAGAAGACAAACACATTGGAAAAATTAATCCTTAATCCTTACATAATTCTAGCCATTCTGTATTAAGTAGGAAAAGATTTTAAGAGAGTTAGAATGAATAACTTAGATGCGTTTCTTTATTCCTCCTCTACATACAGTACATAAAGGTATATTGATTTATACTCGTCAGTCTGTGCTTCAGTATCACCAAAGTTTTGAAATTATGTAGGCTTATTTATGAGCATCAGTAGATTGTTTGAATACACCCTTCAACTGCTTGGTTGAATTTGTCTTTTTTTTTTCTTTTACACCCTTCAACTGCTTGGTTGAATTTGTCTTTTTTTTTAATGGAGATTAGCCCACCCGGGGGTGAAAACATAATAATACACTAATAATAATTAATAAAAAAAAAATTAACCATAAATAAAAAAAAATCAGTAAAAAGTGAGAAACGATATACAATATGTATGTTGTGTTGTCAGTAGTAAAAGAAACAATTCAGACCCTGCAATTGTATGTAAATGAGGCAGAAAGTCAGATCAGGAAATGGTCAAAATTTTTGTGATGCTATATAGCAGCAGGGTATTAGACAATACATTATGATTCCAATATCTTCCCAGGCGGTAGTACCTCCCTGTTTGATAGCTGCCTATGACTTGAGTGTACAGTATAGCTATTGCAACTTTTTTTTTTTTTTTTAAATGGCTTTGCTGAATGGGATTACACTGATTGGAAGCCTTGAAAACTACATAGTTAATGCAGGTGCTTCATTGGTTAGTGTAAGCATTTTCATCTGAGATCAACAATACTGTATAAGAAGCTTATGTATGTGTATTTCCTTTTCAGTATCGACAGTGGGCAAAGGATATAGATGAAGGAAAAATTCCAGAAGGGTTGTTGAAGTTAATTGAAGAAGAAAAGATAAAAAAAAATGAAAATGAATGAATGCTGGTATATGAACAAAATTAACATGCCTATGAAGAAATTGGTCAAAATCAAACCTTACTTTGAGTTATGATAATTTGTTTTTATTGTGAAAAACAATCGGTAAAATTTAGTTGAATATTTTAAGTAACACTTACCCTGACCAGTAACACTATAACATAACAGATGTTGATAACTTATTCAGCATTTTGTTTACATTAAAAACAAGGCCAACATTATGATGACCACTAAGTTAATGTAGCCCACATTGTTGTCCTCCAGCAGGTGGTCTCCTTGCTGACTTTGTATGATTTAAGTTTTTGAAGATTTTTTTTTTTGAGAATTCTATAAATTTCATATTTTCAGTCATGGTATGGCATTGCCTTCATGTGCCCATTATTTTCATTCCTTCATGATTATTATATAGTTGTTATAGACTTCATTTCACTGTCTTAGATTAAGATTTGGTTCTTCGGTAACCAATAAAAAGATAATTGGTCGTAAGTGGATATTAATTATTTTTTATTTTCCTCCAGAGAAAATTTTATAAAAATTTATGTATGAATAAAAGTGAAAACCGATTCATTTATTTTTATTTTTCCAATGCACATTGATCAAAGTTGCTTTATTAATGTTAATCACAGTAAAGCCTTTAATAACGACGGTATGTGTCCTCCAATATTGCAGTGTAAGGTGAATCAGTGTATCGTGACACATTAATTACCATTAAAATGAAGCAATAATAATGAGATGCGTTCCCTGGTGTGATCTTTTCATATCTTTTGTGTGGCTTTTTACCCTCTTTTCCTCCCAAACAAAATTAATGAAAAATGCAAACTATATTCTTAAATAACATTTATGAATGCACCTTATACAATATAAATGAATAATAATATGGTCACACAAGAGGAGATAGGACGCCATTGTTTTCATTAGTGTTTACACCCAGGGGCCGAGACGATGGTACTATGTAAGAAACTGAAGAAAATAAGACCCTGGTTGTAGCTGTAGTAAAATTATGTCAAAAAAAGTGAATGTGTGTGTTTCAAGTAATGTTATTTAACCCTTAGGCCCCGGATGACTTTCCAGAACGTCCGCCTATTTTCCCCGCCATTTTTTTTGTTTTTAATTAATTTTGGAAATGATTTTTTTCTCAATTTAACCCCGCGTGGGGGGTACTGCCAGCAGCACCCTAACCCGGGGCTTAAGGGTTAATGTAAATGAATGGAACAATAGAAGTAGCTAACCACTATTGGCAAAGAAAAAAGCGAGATGGATTGGGAATCCCAACATATATGTGCGCATTCACGGAAACATAGTGTCATTTATCTTAAGAATATTTACAAAAGATTCATTATTGTTTATTACTGAATATGTATTTGATTGAATTAATGTTTATACTGTATATACAAAATGAACATTACAATTCATTAATAATACGTAGAATATTAAAACACACGAGACGAGACGGCATTGTTTTTGTTAGTGAACATTCGTGACAATGGTTCTACATTCACTGGAGTCGGTGCAGCGAAGAATGATGAAAATGATTCCGGGACTTGGAAACCTTCCATATCAAGATAGACTAAATAAACTAAACTTGCATTCCCTAGAAAGACGAAGAGTGCGGGGAGATATGATAGAAGTATTTAAGTGGGTGAAAGGAATCGATGAAGGAGATATAGAGAAGTTCTTATAATATCCAAGCAGGATAGGACTCATAGCAATGGATTTAAGATGGATAAGTTTAGGTTTAGAAGGGAGATAGGAAGGAACTGGTTCACAAATAGGGTGGTAGATGAATGGAACAAGCTTAGCAACTTTATAGTAAGTGCTGGAAAGTTTTAAAAGGGGGCTAGATAGATTCATGGATGATAGAGAGTGGTTGTAACTCGACAGGAGCTGCCATGCACAGGCCAACCGGCCTATTGCAGACTCCGGGTTGTCGTAAAGTTAATGTAAAAATTATATATATATATATATATATATAGCCCAATAAAGCACGCGGACTTCTACATACAATCAACACCTCAACCCGCCAGGATTCGAACCTACGGCCCACAAGCCTATGACTGTGACCGGGGAACGTTAACCGCTGGACCACCAGGATACAAAAGCAGTCCTAGACTTTGTTATATTTCACACAAAGCCTGTTCAACGAGCTTATGGCGCCGTGAACCTCTAATGGGGACCACCCGTATCACGTAGGTGGTCAGAGTAACGTTTTACCAAATCCGGCTTCGAAACACGAGGATCCATATATATTTCATTAGCCCAATAAAGCACGCGGACTTCTACATACAATCGACACCTCAACCCGCCAGGATTCGAACCCACGGCCCACAAGCCTATGACTGTGACCGGGGAACGCTAACCGCTGGACCACCAGGATACAAAAGCAGTCCTAGACTTTGTTATATTTCACACAATAAAAGTAGCTAACAAATAAATGGAAAAGAAAAAAGTGAGATGGATTGGGAATGCCAACGTATGTAACTGCGTACATGTGAAAACATATCGTCATTTCTCTACATAAGAATATGAAAGCAACACTTACTTTCTGTTCATATATGTTTTAAATAATGCTTATGAATGTAAAACAAAAATTCTACTCACCAATGGTGGTAAAGTTTAAAACATAAGGACAGCCAATGATGTTGTGTGAGATTTTACTCAGATCATAGTCATCAGGTTCAACTCTGGCTGAAGCTGTAGCTTTCCATGAAGATGTCATAGCTGTTGCTGAAACTGTTACTGAATCTGAAGTTGTTGATGAAGTTGTTGATGGTTTAGGCCTTCAAATAATAAAGCTGTAGAAAGAACCTTGCACAGCTTTTTTTTTTTTTTTTTTAATAATGGTTTTGTTAATACTTAAATGAAAAGGTATTTTTTTTAATTATATTTTCGTCGTAAATACGAAGAAAATGATGGCGTAAAATGAATTGGGTCCTAAAATAACCAGGGTCTTAAATATGAATCGCCATTAGTAGAACTGTCGTTATTGAAGGCTTTCCTGTACTTAGATTAGACACACACTCATTACGTTCTCCACTCCCTTGTTGATTTCGGTGTTCTATCATGCACATTCACTTCCCCAATTTCTAACGCATTAGTACTTCCTACTGGCAGACTTGACTTTTTCATGTATTACCCTTACAAAATATCCTCCCAAAGTTTGTTTGTATCATTTGACCTCAATACACAATGTTATATATAACTACTTTCAACGAAGATTGCCAAAATGTGATGGGAACAAATGAAGCATCATTAATGGTACCCAAAATTGGAGCAACAGAAGTAATTATTGAGTGAAGTTCATGAGACTTATCAGTGTTGGCAAATAATGGTCTTTTACTGCTGTTAGAATCATTACCACAACCACCAGCCTCCACATTAAAGTGAAGTACCATCCATTGCTGTGAAATATTCTTAGTCATAGGAAACAACCTAAAAACTTAAATTGTGGCGAACAAGTGACTTGTAAACAAAACCGAGCATGGTCTAGTATAGTACCAACAACAGTGTTGATGTGTGGAGTGACTACTTCCAAAAGTACAGTGGCACAATTGGAGGATGGATAAATTATCAAGTAATAAATGAAAAGTATGTGTTTGATTACTTTGGAAATTGGAGGTTTTCAGCTTTTTGAATTTTGAATAAATAAGGTGCCCCTTTAACATATAGACTACTGTTGATTCAGACTTTCAGCAGAATATTAAATGTGATAAGCTCAGTGCAGTGTCAACAGGTGATCCCACATGCGAGACAATGCTAAATGTAATGTGCTATAAATATTGGCCGTTTTGAACTACAATATGTTGATCCCAGTAAATGCACAGCTTGTGGTAGGGTCAGAGATTTTGTTTCAAAGGTCAATGTTCTGCCTCAGTTTTTCTTGGATGTAGGGAGAAGCTTCGTCCAACACTGGTGTCTACATTGGTTCCAGCAAAGGATTTCATATCTTGTCTTCTCAATCTGCACCTGCTTTTGGTTTGCAACATGACAATTAACTGAACCTAAATAGTCTTCCACATTCCTCCAACAAAAGGAGTGAATCAAAGTACAGTAGAATCCCAGTTATCCGGCACCTGTGCAGATTGATAGGTGCCGGATCCATGGGCATCTGCTAGGGGGGCAGCTCCCCCCCTCGACTGGATGAGGCTTGTCAAAATATATAAGCAACAAATACCCAACAAAAGAATGGGATTTAGACTAACAAAATGAAGGGAAGGAAAAAAAAAAACACTAAAATATTAGCCCACCGAGCCTTCCCCCTGGAAAGTTCCAGCAGATGCCCTTGGCTGAATACTGTAGAGAGATTTTCCAGTTAGTTAAACCCCACACTAGGATCCCCCAATAAATCCTAAAGTGCACAGTGCTCCAAGCTGACCTCACAAATTCGTGTCTCTGAAATCTGTTTTTCTGCAACGCTCTGCATTTTCATGAGCGTTCCCCAATTACCCGTATACCTTGTTTTTGACTTGCCCATGCTCGTTAGAGAAAAATAAAATTGTTTCGAAATTTAAACACTCATGAAACTGCATGGAATTGCAAAAAAACGACTTCATTAACACCTATATAAATGATGTGGCTTTGAAATAAAGAAAATATAAAACTACTGAGCACAGGTGTGTATGTGTGGAAACTGAACGTGTGTGGAGGCGGTGGGCTATAACTGCCTCGTATGTTGTTACATGTAATGAAACTACAAAAGTGGAAAAATCATTACAATACTGTGGCTTTGAAATAAAAGAAAATTTAATATAAAACTAAAAAATTTTAAAAATGTAGAGCATTGCTGTATAAATGGAAAGTGAACGCGTGGTGGCATTGGGCTGTAACTGCGTGGCCACGTTCCCTCCCAATGTGATGTCATAGCATACACACAGCACAACGAGGCAGTGACACGTCTGTGAGTCAGCTGGTTGACTGCCTGGCTAAAGTGGGTTGCGTTGTCCAAATGATGGTTTAAGTGTGGAAGGAGCTATATTTTGTACATAAAATATGTGCTATTGTATTTTATGATATGTTATACATCAATTTTACTGCTTAACCCCAACGTGGTTTGGGGCATAGATTAACGCCCGCTAAGGTAAAGGCCACCCAGGTATAGGGCGTATATCAACGTTCTTGAAAATTTTAAAATTCCCTCAAGTTTCTGTGGACCCTAGAGCTATAAACAAACATTTTGAGTTGTCTGCCATACACCCTCACAGGCAATCACATCACTAGACCTCGTGTTTCATGGCAACACGCCAGTACCTTCGCCTGTCCCATGCTGTAAGGATGTCAGAGGGAGGTATCTAGGTTTATATGGTAACCACGTAGGGGTTAAAATATAGGGTAGCAATAAATATGGCAGCTCATCTCCATTGCACATGGTATTCAAACTTACAATTTCAGCTGATTTTAGAATAATTTTTATTATTACTGTACTTCATTTTGGTACCGGTTGGTTGAATCTGACAATTGCCTGGGCTCCAGATAACCGGGATTCTACTATACCTGTACTGTATTCTTATGTGGTATTAACATAAGACTTTATAGCCATTTTCCCAGGACAACACCATTAAAAAACACACTTAATTCCCTGTGGAAGATACCAACAGAACAATCCAGAGCAGCAAGTATTTTCCACCCTGGGTGTATCATTACTTCTCATTAAGCTTTTTGATAGGGAATTTGCAAGTAAGAAAGCTTAGCATACAACTAATCCAAATAATATCAAGACCCCAGGGTCACATGGAATAGAAAATGAGCAATAATCTTAGAAGCATTCAGGTCTCAATAGGGTTGGGTTGGTCTTTGCCTGATGTTAAAATTCTTTTGGATAATTAGGGTCTTGCTTACTGTCTTGAAGGTTACTGATTTGTGCCTCGGGTGCCCCCAGGTGTAAACGGGTAACCTAACTTCACAGATGGGAAAAAGAAGACACTCGAGTACAATAAACAGGGTCCCCGACCTATGAACGTTCGCCGATACGAACGAGGTTAAACTTTAAATTTACATTATTTTATTTACCTGATGACATTTTTTATTTTCATTTACTGTATTCTGTCATTCTATTTCTTCTTTTCTCTTAAATTGATTGATTTTTTATGTATATCAGGACTTAGGCTATGATGATATAGTGGGATTTCAAACATTTTTCTGTAAGTATGGTATGCACTTAGCATGTGTTTCGACTTAAGAACGTCCTTGGGAATGGAACCCATTTGTAACCCAGGGACCCCCTATAGTGACAGCTTCACTGACTGTAAGTACTTGTGTTAGTATCCACACTACTCTAAACAGGCCATTATATCATATTTTGCTTATTGACTACAGAAATTAACTTTCAAGGTTTCATGCTTCTGTGATTTAGTTACTGTTCCTTCATTCTGGCAGTTACTGGTACTATGAAATACTTCAATATGACAATTATACCCACAACTTGTAAAAAATATTTATTGATCACTGGTTTACAAAACAATGGAATGAACTAGTCCAACATCAAAAAGAAATAAAGTTTAAGTACACATCAGTGTAATTAACTAAGAATAGCCCCCCCCCACAAAAAAAATTAAATAAATTACCCATGCTTTGTACTACATCTTAGTAATAGGATTCCTGTTACTGTAACAATCGTATGAAATGGGCAAGAGTATATGACGAAACATGGCTGACTTTGAGAATCATTAATACATAAAGAATACTCCATATCAATTGAGAAAAAATGCAATTGTCCCAAGGGTAACAAAATACATCACCAAAAATGAAGGGTTACCATAATTCTGAAATTCTATTTTATGACCCAGCCCGCATTCAAGCAACTTGTCTTACAATCGTCATATTGCGAGTCGAGACACAAAAACCCCTGGACAATAGAGGCTGAGACTAATTCATGAAGCGTTGTACTTCTTTGTCCCAACCAAACACCTGAATGAAATAACAATAATAATAGCTGGTCTTCTGTTTCTCGCAAGTGCCAGTTCTTCTAAATAATTCACTAGTGCTCAAAATACTGCAAAATCAAGGACCTGTGAATAAAGTGAGTTCGTATATCCATAAGTTGTAACACATCCTAAACCCTGTAATTCTCCATATCTGTACCCTATTCCGAGGATTGTAAACTTAAAAAAAGAACAACAAATAAATATAAATAATTAAAGTCTTATAATTTGTTTTTTAAAGGCCTCCACAGAAGTCGGCTGCATGGATGCAGGCGCCTTTGAAGGGGAAAAGCAACAACCTGTGGTATCATATGCAATGGGTGAGACATCTGGCATCTTATGAACACTTGTGAAAAACCCAGCATCAGTACAAGCACTTATGTGACATGTGGTGTTATAATAAGCACCTGGGGTCTTTATGAGTGACATATATAGCAACAACAGGAGTACTTAAAGAGACATTTGGGGTTATCATGAACTCTGATACAGTACCTGGAGTCCTACGAACACATGTGGGACTCTTGGTGCCATTAGGAGGATTTGTGACATCTGCAGTCATTATAAGTAGTGATGAAACAAATTGAGTTATCAGGAGCAATAATCACTTGTGAGTGAGTGAAAGGTACCAAGCAATCTAAATTTCCACAATAACGAATAGGGACTCTTGCTGCCATTAAGTTGACTTGTGAGATATCTTCGGTCATTGAGATTAGTAATTGTACAGCAAGTCCTTAAGATAATGAGCCTAAGTGAAAGTGACACATATCTATCACCGCTATAAATTTCAAGCGAATGACTAGGCACTATTGTGAGCAATAATGATACTATTTGCATCAATATTATGAGCACCTTCAGGACTGTGTGAAAGGTCAAGGGAAATCCCAATGCCTCAGGCAGCAAGACAGATAATTGTTGAAGAGAATCATAAGCCAGATCAGATAAATGACAAGGTTCTCACACTAAAGTATGTCACATTTACTTAAGTACACAAGGGGCCAAAACTCAGATAATCTAAGTAGAATTTTCCTTGACAACATACTGTACACATCTCTACTTGCTGCTGATCATGTCTGTCAAGTTTGGTACAGGTAGACTTTTTAGTTTTTCAGGAGTTGAAGACAAAAAAATTTGCAAACAGTCACCACCAGCACATATACATCCCACTGGAGACAAGCATATATACCAAATATTGTACAGTATTGATACAGGTTGAGTTACTGCATTTTACAGCATATAAGATGCACCTATTTCAGCAGGGAATATTTAGGATTTTTTTTCCCTCCTGTAGCCATACTTTTCTTAAAATAATATACACCTGTACCAGTATATGTGAGGAATAAATGAAATAATACGAATAAAAAAAAAAAGTACAGTATTCCCATTTGGCTGATGGACAACGAATTTGTCAATCGTTCACTACAAACAGGAGACCGCTTAGAACAGCTGAGATCCCTCACTCTCCCTCCTCTTAACACATGAAGAAAGTGTATTCCCTTTTGTGTTCTTGACCTTATGATATTTATTATTATTTAGTTTCTTTTGCATAATCTATATGCAAGACTGAATATATATATATATATATATATATATATATATATATATATATATATATATATATATATATATATATATATATATATATATATATATATATATATATATATATATATATATATATATATATTAGATGTATCTACCCAGCATTCATAAACCATACCACCTACCTTTTTTATGTTATTTAACAAATGTGCTCCTTCAAACAACATTTGCATGCAATCTACATTTAGAAAATGCAGCAAAAACCATTTAGGAAAAGATAAATGAAAGTTTGACATAACTACCATTTGCACAGACACTGGCTGCTTGGCCATAGCAAACACAGGTCAATGGGGATGCTCCCTCTGCTGACTCCCAAGCAATGGACTTCACCACACACTCTACTCCCTCCTTCCCCTCTGAGCCCACTATCTTGTGTGCAAAGAAATGTTTATTCCCTTTACTTGTTTGACCTTATGATAATTATTTATTTTACGTTTTGCATAATAAGTATGTACGATTGTGTGTGCATGTAACTTAGCAAGAAGAAAATTACATACAATATATCTACAGTACCTGAAACTATGAATTGAAAATAACCTTAACACCTCATAGCTTGGCCTGGTAGCCTGGTGGTTACAGTGACAAGTCTAACTTGGCAACAATGCTGCCAGTAATGTTGCAGTAACACTTGTAAGAGTTCAGAAATGGTTACTGCTTAGCTCTGAAGAGTTGGATACCTGCAGTAAGAACACTAATAATCATAAGTAGTTAATAAATCTAGTTTATATAATTACAATTATTATTTTGCTTAATTAATTAAAAGTAATAGCAACGTGTGTAAGAAGGCAATAACATTTTTAATTCTGGAGTTGGGCTAGGTAGAATTTACCAACTGGGAAGGGGGAGACTCATTAGCCTAACGGGAGATAGCAATTCACATATAGGACGCAGGCTGATTTTTTGGCTATTTTTTCATATTATATGGTACTTCATTGTGAAATCAAAAAGCATGGTTCATAAGCTCCCATGCCAATGCACCAGCTGGTCTTAATAGGATTGTACAACAGAGGCATATATCCTATGAAAATTCTAAATTATAATACTAATGCCGAGTCTTATGAGGTATACAGTCAATGCCTCATAATACTAAAACACTAAAATTACAGAACTTGGCCCCCAAAGCAGGATACACTGCAGATGAGACGACAACCACTCGGTGGACAGTAAATTGTAGACAAGATTCAAAAGTATCTGATGCCTGCAATATCAACAAAGCCAACCAAATGAAGAGTGGTTGTGCATGTTGATGCAATGCGAAGTCTTACTGTTTCCTACTCTGAAAGATCTCTTTCAAGGGTTTGGTTAATTGAGAAGAAGGAAGTCATTTGTAAATTCATCTAAACCAGTATTTTTTTGTGAATCTCCTGTGTCTCGTCTCATTGATATGGTGAGCATAATACACGAGTCACTGAAAAAAATGATTATTAAGTCTTAACAAAAGTACCACAGTTAAACATACATTACACATGTTATCTGAATCCTAAAAGATACTTATTAGGTATATTCATAAATATGTAACTGTATAAATAATTTACTGTATATATACAACACAAATATGTAAAGCTTTTAAATTGCTTGATAAATCAAAATCTTGCCTTAAATACAAACAAAAGTAAGTTAATGAAACCAATCCTTAAAAAAAAAAAAAATAAAAACTGTTAATTTCCCATCAGCAAAATGAGCAATAATTGTTTTGAGAATAATCAATGTTGTTACAGGATAAGACTTCTCAACAAAGAGCCAGAGCTTGAATTAGTGCTATGCCAACCAATGGAGGCACTATGACTTTTCTCCTTTGGAGAGATTATGGAGTGAACTACCATAAAAAGGTTGAATAAATAACAATTTGCAAATACAGTACAGTACAACCACAAAAAAAAATTAAATTGTAAATATTTGCTCAGGCATCATTTCCCTTTAACAAAAAGCATGATTATACATTATATAACTACATAAAATGTGTATACAGTACAGTAAATGGAATATATTTTTTTCATATATTGTACCTGTATTCTTATACTCGTACAACAATCATATTTATTACAACACAGTCAAAGCAAATGAATCCATAACAAAAAATATAAAAATCTACCAAAGGTTCAATACAAAAATCAAAGAATATGCAAAATTACAATTAATCTGCTTTAATACAGCAATGAATATTATAAAAGTGATCTGCTTATAACTACTGTACACTCCATTGAGTCATACTTTAGTTAACCTTATTTAAATACAGTAAAATACTGTCATTAACCAAGCAAACCATAATTACAAAAAGATTTCACATCAAATTATCACAAATGCATTCATCAACCCCAAAAATTCAACCTCCAGTAACTGACAACTGCATATTATATACTCAATGCTGAATTGTCATTAAGAAGGTACGTACTATACTTCATATAAATTAAATACTATACAAAATTTCTTATTAATAATATCTAGTAAAAGTGAATCTGCTTCAATGATGTGTAATGTTACTATGTTTACTGTACTTACTATAACACGCATGAATTATGAGAAAAAGGGCAAGAATGATAGTAGGGGTGCATGTTTGACTCAAAAAGATGATGGAGGGGAAATCCGATGTTTAGAAATGACACTGGTTTGTTGAATAAAAAAAAAAAAAGTGTTCCAAATGTCAGTAAATGAGTTTCATGGAGTGTGTGATATAAAAGAAAGTGACAAGTGAATATGAAAAAGGTGATGAAAGTAAAAAAGGGAAGGAAACAGGAAAATTTATATTGATTCGAATTAATGAAATGAGGTGTTTTAGGTAAAGTATCTGGGAATTGATATGATAGACAATGGAACAATGAGTTATGAACCAATTCACAGCAAATATAAGAAAGAGTAGTACAGTATGTGCAAAGAGATTTACACCTACTGTACAACAGTGTCAAAGAAGGCAGAGAAGGGTATATATTGGGGAACAGTTGAGTTGACATAAATGTACAGTAAAGGTGGTAAGTTTAAACTTGGATGTAAAAGGAAAAAGCAAGTTGAAAACAATAATATGAGTATGTGCTCGAAAGAAGTATGTGGGGCTAACAGGATGCAAAGAATAAAGAGCAAGGCTAAAAGAAGATGAGAAATTAAAAAGAGTGTCAGAAGGAATTGACTAGGGTACCATGGACACAGTGAGAATAAGATATGAACACCTAGATAAAATGAGTCCTGTACCTGTATACAGTACTGTACAGTAATTCAAAAGTGGCTGATAGGAGAAAGAAGGGAAAACCAAAAAGGAAATGGAAGGATTAGGTAAAGAAGGCACTAGATGTGAAAGGTTCATAATCAGGAAGCAGTATTATTCATCAATGCTGAAAAAATGGCATTATGTATTTTTTGGAATGGACACCTTGCTAAAGATGATGCTAAGTTGAGTGAAGGAACAGAGATAAACTAGGTGGTTTTCTTGGCACCCAGTTGTGGAAATGGAACACCATTGCAGAATACTGTACATCGATTACAGTTTGTAAGTATGGATGACAGTAAATTAAATGGGGGACTAAGCTCTTCATTTCAGTAATCATACATCACAGAGCAAAAATGTTTACAAGAAGGGAAAACACTAATATACCATTTTCTTTAAAACAAATAAAATAAAATAAATGCATTTATCAGTTAATTTTCCAAGTAAGTTCTAAATGGTATTCAAGATATGACAAAAATGTGACCCAACCCAAGAAGGGACACCAAAAGGTGACTCTGGAGTTTGGGCCATTTTTTATATGAACAGCCCTAAAACAGTAAAAGAAAAACCCATCTGGTATTTACCCCAAATATGCAAAATTGTGGTATTTTACCTGCTAAGGTTATAGTCAATTATCAGATATGGGGTCAGTAAAATTAAGGAAGATGATTTGACAATATCTCTGGAAGTACAGTGAAAGTGGGTCCCACCAGCATGATGGCCCATTAGGGGCAGTGTCATATGGTACACTTACAAGCAATCATTTTTCAGAAGACAAGGAGGCAACATGGCCTGTGCAGTACTACACTTGACTGCCTTTACTACCTCAACTGTGAAGTTAAGTACAGTACCCATTTATAGCTGGGTGAACCTTGAACACTTCCAGTATAGAAGGGAACTAAAAAAAAAAGAAAGAAAAAAAAAGTAATCTGCAGAAAGTACTTTACATGAAAATAGGACAATATAAAACTTCTATCCATTCTCCATCCTACCCTTTTCATTCTACTTCCCCACAACTTTCCATCATCCCACCACACTCATCATCATATACCTGTACTGTAATACTATCATACACTAGTAAGGAGAAAAAATCATCCAATATTGTATAAGGCTACACACCAATGCAAATCCTAAATGAAAATTAATTTTAGCGATGTCTGGTTGTAATAAATATGTTGGGTATAATTTACTGAATATTACGAGTACTTGCATTAGCATATCTTTCCCAAATCCTAGTACTACTGTACTTCCCCTAAAATCATCATTTCATTCATCATCATCACCTGTATGTCTCTTTTTGTGGGTGCAGATAACAGGTTTGATTCATGGACCTGGGGTTCCCCATTTATCTATACCTACACAGTAACTCTCTAAAACAGAACTGGACTTTGGGTACCACTTCTTGTTTCAGACAAATAGTTTTAAATTCAATATCCATCTTGCTCCATTGTGAACATCTTGATTGATACAAATCGGTATTTGATGGAAGGTTATGATACAATGAATTGAAGTTATTTTGAAAAGCAGTTTTATCTTTTAGTTTCTTTGTGCAAGTAACTTAAAAATAACATAATTAAAAGAAAAGATGCATTTCATTGATGTGATACATTCTTACAAGTTAGGCATCTCAAATAAAAAAAATTAATTAAGTAGTTTAACATACAATGTGTACAGTACTGTACTACAATCACAAATGAAAATGTCTAGATTTTATGAATTAAATTTATGAAGTGTTAACAACCAAGTGATATTTTCTTCCTTTTTTCGTTTATGCCATATTAATACTAATTAAGATTCATTTTTTGTTAGTGGTACCTTGTCTTCACCCTGATGCAGCAGACCTTTGGATGTGCTGAAGAGTGTAATGAACTTGAAGTTGCATACCAGTGCAATACATAACAATCCTGTGCATATTGCAAACATGGCCTGAGTAGAGCTAATGATGGTGTTATTGTGCACCAGCAACAGACCAGCACAAGTTATAATATTTGTTGGAACTCTGAACCAGTTCATGATGCCAGCTCTTAAATCTTCAGGAATAACTTGAGACCTTAAATAGCCAATGGCAGGGAAATACATTCCTACAGCCACTTCTAAAATAAGGAAGGCTAAGAAAGACAAGTAAAGATGGTCTGCACCGGTTGAATATATGCATATAGACATAGCAAAGATCGCTAAACAAACAGCCATCATTAATAGCTGTTCAGCTTGGAATTTCTTGGACAGAAGTAAGGCATAAAGAGAGGAGCCGATCATTATGCAAACCATAAAGCTGGCAAAAACCATGCCTAGAGGAGGATGACCAGGTCCTAAAATTGGAGTCCACTGAAATACAAAGATGTACATGTTGGCTTCAAATAAAGATTGAACAACTCCAAGGTAAAGAATTGTTTCTTTAAACAAAATTGACCGAAGACCATCCATGCATGACCTGCGAAGGTCAAGCGTCTGATTACCATAATTCTCTCTCCAAGTTTTTAATATAACGAAACCAGCTACAATTAAGAATGGAATTGCTAACATAAAGGGGGCAACTGGCCCATACCCTAGTGTTTCAGCAGAAATGTTAGAGAATACCCCAGCATTGATGGCAAGTACACCATTCCAGAAAGTTGCTTTAGAAAATGTTACCGAGAGCCACTCATTTGGGAAATCATGAGTTTCTGTATGTTCATATACATACCAGGATTCAAAAGTAGAAAACAGCATTGATGTTGAAATTCCACCAAAGACGCGACCAAGAAAAAGCCAGATGAATTTTGAACTGAGCTTGGTAAGACAACAAAAAGAATATAAAATACAAAATGTGAGAGCCATCTTCTTTCTTCCAAATCTATCAGCTAAGGGTCCAGTGGTGGTTCCAAATATAACACTACTAGCAAAGCCAACCACATAAAGGAGGGCTATTTGATTACTGGCATATCCATAGTGTTCATACAACTTATATACATATGGTCCCTGCAGCCAGTCAGAAAATAATGCCATAAAGTATACCAAGAAAAAAGAATACTGAAACCTCTTAAAATGTGGATTATTAGCAGATGAAATTTGACTTTTCGTTTTCATGGCAAAGAAATGAAAGACCAATGCCACAAGGGCAAGGGCTGTGAAGGAGCCATAGATAACAGAATCCATTATGCTGATGTGGCCCACCAGGGGTGAAGTGATCCAGTTTTCAATCTGCAAAAGATACCTTCTTTAAGTTGTGTAAGATATACAAACATCTATACATTTACAGGAAAAGTAAATACTGTACTGTAATTAAGATTTAAACATTTGAGCTTTGTGATCGATCCATGATGAGAAGTGGATTTAATGGGTGGAAGGGTTAGCCTGAAATATTAAAGAAATAAAGAAACTTATTTCTTCCCTATGTTTCTCTCCCACCTATCAAATCTATTTGAGCTTCAATTAAAGAATTCGATTAATTTTCATTTACAGAAAATAAAGAATTGATCCTGAAATTCCATGTGTAAGACCCAAATACAATAAATAATTTACTACTGTATACAGTTCTGTATATCAGCAGTAAAATAATTACAATACTGTACTGTACTGTACATAATAATGTTCAGAGAACAGTCACCACAAGGAAATCACTAATGGCATATATACTGTACAGTATTTACTGAAGTACTAATACCCATGTAATACACAATATGTCTTTGATAAAGGATTCTGAACACAATACAATATAGTAATTACAAGGGTGAAGGTGATGCACTTGAATGTGGGAACTACAGTGACCTGAAACTGTTAGATGAAGTTATGAAAGTTGTGGAAAGAATGATTGAGAAATCGATAAGGGAATGTGTGTACAGTAACAAAATACAGTTTGGGTTCATGCCAGGCAGGGGACTACAGAAACAATATTTATGACCAAGTAACTGCCAGAGAAATATCTAGGGAAGGAGAAAAAGCTGTACTTTGTCTTTGTAGTCTTAAAGAAGGCATTTGACACACTACCCTGTGGGTGATGAGAAAGTAGGGGCCGAGGAGTGTCTTGTTCGAGTGGTTATGGCATTACAGTATTTAGGAGCTCAAAAATTGCTGTGAGAGTAACTTGTGAGGAAGGTGAGGAATTTGAAGTAGGAGGGATTCTTCAAAGGTCTGTCTTTAGCCCTTTCCATTTATCATGGTACTGGAGGCACTATCATGGTACTTTAGTACTAGACTGCCCTGGGAGTTGTATGCAGTGGTAGTACTGACAGACTGCAGGATTTGCTGATTTTTAAGTGTTCTGTTTACACAAGATCAGCATGTGGCCTTTGCAAGACTGGAAAATTCAACATTGGGATACAGTACAGGGTATATCCCTGAACTGTGTTGGTGAGTTCTGGTACCTGGTGACATGATCAGTGCTGGAAGTGGTGTTGAAGCTCGCCCAATTACAAGAGTTAGAAGTAGCTTGCGGAAGTTTAGAAGTTATTGATGGCAAAATGACCTTCCCTTCATGTGAAAGGAAAGATATACAGTACACAACTGGTGTAACAAGTGTGATGTTGCATGAAAGTGAAATATGAGTGGTGAGATGAGGTGGATGTGCACTATGACACTGAAAGATAACATAAGAACATAAGAATGGAGGAAACTGCAGCGGCCTATTGGCCCATACTGGGCAGTCCCATTTACACCCTACCCCTATTGCTCATATACCCATCCAACCTATGTTTGAAGCTATTCAGCATGTTCGAGTTAATGATGATATTTGGTAACTTGTTCCAGTCGCCCACTACTCTATTTCCAAACCAATGTTTACCTATTTCGCGCCTAAATCTAAATTTGTTTAGTTTAAAACCATTGTTATGAATTCGCTCCTGGTTGGATAGTTTGAGTACCTTTGTAATGTCCCCTTTGTTTAGCCCTGACTTCCATTTATACACCTCGATCATGTTGCCCCTCACTCTACATCTCTCAAGGGAGTGCAAATTAAGATGCTTTAACCTGTCTCTGTACTCAAGGTTCCTAATGCCCGGGATTAGTCTTGTCATTCTCCTCTGAATTCTTTCCAAGGATTCTATATCCATTCTGTAATACGGTGACCCGAATTGAACTGCGTAATCCAAGTGAGGTTTCACAAGCGCAAGATATAGTTTTAAGATGACCTCGCTAGTCTTGTAACTAACACTTCTTTGTATGAACCCAAGTACTTTATTAGCCTTGTTTCGAGCAAATACACATTGTTTACTTGGCTTGAGATTCCTACTCATCATTACTCCTAAATCTCTCTCACAGTCGGATTTCTCAATAACATCGTTGTTCATCTGGTATCTGGTTTCCCTGTTTACATCTCCTATACTGAGTACTTTACATTTGTCCACATTGAATTTCATCTGCCATTTTTAAGACCATTCGAAAAATTTGTTTAGATTTTCCTTTAGTTTTGCGGAGTCCTCGTCAGATTTAATTACATGTCCTATTTTAGTGTCATCAGCAAATTTACTTATGTTGCTGTCTATGCCGATATCTAAGGAAACCTTCTTCAGAGCTAAGAGGTGGCTGGGTATTCAGAGTACAGTATGGTACTGTACCTGTACAGGTACAGTATTGGTGAAGTTTTGCATAGAGGTTAGCTGAGATGGTTAGGGCCTGTGGAGTGAATGGAGAGACTAACAGGGCCTAAGCATAACACTGTCATCATTTGTTTTTTGCAATGCATTCTGGTGAAAGTCCAGGGTTGTTTTCAATTAATATGGTAAAAGTGCATATTATTTTGTGAGAAAGTGATGCTAGAGGGAAAATTTAAAGAACTGACAAAGCAAGATGATGGTTTATATGTAGAGAGGTTTCTGCACTTCTTAAATCAGCACAGAAAACTAAAACACAGTTCGTCAAACTGTACATACCTGAAACATTATTGTACTTTCCTTTTGCTGGTAAAACAAGTCTGTGATATGACAAGCAAATGTTTGGGAACGTTGAGAAGTACAGCTCCTCCCCGACTTACGACCTACTCGACTTACAACCAACCGCACTTACGACCTGCCTCAGTCGTACCAAATTTTTTTGTCAAATTACGTATTTTCGAGTCCCAACGTCAGTACACAGAAAATTTTTTCGTTTGTAATTCACTTTAAAATGGCTGGCAAGCTTAAAAGTGAGATTTTTGTGGTGCTGAGAAGAAAAAGGGACACCCATTTTAGATTTTCTATGTATTATTTAAGCATTTTCGACTTACGACCTGGATTTGGGTCCCTAACCTCGTCGTAAGTCGGGGAGGAACTGTAATGGTTTCTGGGTTCCTTTTTGCTTAGGTGCCTTAGAGATATGTGATTCAACTGAACACTGAGATATCGTTGGATCACTGCTTAAATACATCTTCTGCCTACATGAAATATGCAAATGCTGGTTCACTTAGTTTTAGTCAGTAGAAATAAATTTCTAATCAAATATTTTCAGTTTTCTTTTCTTAATATCAACTGGTAGCTGGCAGAAACATAAAGACGTTTTCCTTACTATTGAAACAGAATTCGGTACACAACAGTTAACTTTTAGAATTTTAACAGCAAATAAAGGTAACTACCATATATAACAGAGCCCTTGTAAATTCTACAGTTACCGTATTTACCTAATGGCCGCCCAAACTAGAGGTAGTCATGCCAAGGTAAAGAGGCCAATGGCCTCTGTAGCATCCCTCCATTGTTCTTAATAGTCTTATTAAGTGCTATTTTGAAGCCCAGTTCTGTTCTCGATTCTACAGCTTCAGCTGGTACATTACAGTACTCCATAGGTCTACCACCCTATGGTGTTAGATAAAAACAAAGATGGCCGATTCAACCCCGAGTTTCCCCTAAAATGCATTGTAGTAAACAAATCAGGAGAGGAGATAGGTCGACTGGGTCAAGAGGTGCACGGGTTTAAATGTGGAGAGGAGGAGAGCCTAGGGGTAGGCCAAGAATGTCATGGAGAGGGGTTATAAGAAATTAACAGTGGAGTTAAAAGCTTGAAAGAGGCTGCATAGACTGTGCAGCATGAAGAACTGCCACTAAGTAATACTACTGTACTGTATTGATTAATCCACAAAAGCAAAGAAAACTACCATAAAATGTTGTTGTTGATTGTAATGACGAGCTAGGACAAGAAAGAATAGTGAGCTTTCATTTCAAATTTAAGTTTACTTGAATTTTGTTTTTCATTTGATTACTTATAATATCTTCTCCAATGTATACAGTACATAAACTCTCCATCAGCTAGAATACTCAGTCCCCAGAACTCTCCAATACCCAAAATGGAAATCTCTCTCCATTCTAGGTCTGTGAACAAGTTTCCGGGGATGAAAATCAGGAGCATTTTCCGGAAAAATTTTAAAATCTCTCAAAACCACTCCATTCTAGGCATGGGAAGAAATTTTTCCAGGAGTTCCAAGAGCGAGCATCATGCACCAATATGTCACCATGTGCCAGGCATGTGGGTAGACTAGCTGCTTGGATTGCTTAGTCTATATTATGCTGCCAATGTGCAAGGCTGGTCCCTCGTCAGCTGCTGTTTTTGCATACAATTTGTGTTGTGCAGTACTGTACATTACTGTACTAGGACACAATCAGCCAAGGATACAGCATTAATGCAGTGTCAAGACATAAAAAGTGATTACAGTTACATATACCTGTACTGTACATTCAGCAAGTGGGAAACACTGGAGTATCTTATCTTTCGTCTTTATTCAAGACTTCTTCAGGTCACGAGACCCACTAATCCCCCACCCCAACTCCACCACAAATGACAGAAGAGCTCATATCCAATGGGTGATGTGACATTGCATCAGGTCTGTTCAGAAACATGAGATGCACAAATCCCCTACCCCACCTTCATCACAAGTGTTAAGATATAAAGAGTGATGTACATTCAGCAGAGTGGACAGTATATGCCTACTGTAGGCTCAAGATGATAGCATCTGCTGGCAAGTACAGTACTGTATATACAATATATTGTACATGTACACAGTGGTGTCTGTGAAAATAAATACAGTACAGCTTTTGTGTTTGTCTATGTGAGATGCCCATGTTAGACTCTTGGGAAAACTTTCCAGTCTTGGCTGTGACACTTGGCTCCATTCAAGCCTCGCATGCTCGCATCACATACAAAAATTTTAGATGAACAATTCAGGATTATTTTAGTAAAAAAAAAAAACTAGAACCAATTTGATAGATTCAGGTATAAAATATATACCTGTATATTTTTTTCATAAAACAATTGAGTCCCCATTATTTTATAGCATTAAAATACAGCTACTCCTCGACTTACGACATACTCGACCTACAACCACCCGCACATACGATCGCCGCAGTCGGTACCAGAAATTTTTCAAATGACGCGCGTATTCTCTTGACCGAAACGTTTCCGTCCCGTACGAGAGCGTCGCGTGGGCTGGGTCGTCTCGTGGCTAAAGTACCCACGCCGTAGAGCGCTTAGTTGGCGTTTGGCTGTCGCTGTTGTAGATAGTGATCGCGCTGTGTACTGACAATATTTTCGTTTCTAATTCACTTTAGAATGACTGGCAAGCATAGAAGCGAGAGTGCTGGTGGTGCTCAGAAGAAAAGGAGACAGTCAATTACTTTTGAGACGAAAATGAAGATGATGATGCAATATGAAAATGGAAAAAACGGTAGCAACCATTTCACGCGACCTAGGCTTCTCGCACGCAACCATATCGACAATTTTGAAGGACAAGGCACATATTCATGAGGTAGTGAAAGGATCAGCACCTATAAAGGGAACAATAAAAAAAAAAGACAAGGTCCTATTCATGAGATGGAAAAATTACTTGTGATATGGATGGAAGATCAGATACAAAAGCGTGTACCCTTTAGCCTTCTAACCCGACAGGCTAAGGTAAGAAGCCTTTTCGAAAGCCTGAAGGAGCAGGCAGGAGATGAGTGTGACCAAAACTTCACAGCAAGTAATGGGTGGTTCCAAAGTTTTAAGAACCGCTACAGTTTGCTAAGTGTAAAGGTGACTGGAGAGGCAGCAAGTGCTGATGTGGGTGCTCCCGAAGCTTTTAAGGAGGAGCTAGATCGTGTCATCGTGGAGGGAAATTATTTGCCTGAGCAAATATTTAATGTGGATGAAACTGGCTTATTATGGAAGCGCATGCCAGAACGGACATACATCCACAAAGAGGCGAAAACATTGCCGGAATTCAAGGCATTCAAGGACCGAATCACACTTCTGTTGGGGTGAATGTAGCTGGTTTCAAGATAAAGCCCTTCATGATATATCATTCAGAGAACCCAGGGGCTTTTAAACATGTCAGCAAGCACACACTGCCATTGTTTTATCGCATGGATGACCCTAGTACTGTTTGAGGATTGGTTCCCGACTTGTTTCATTCCACGAGCCAAGGAGTATTGTCTGCAACAAGGGATTGCATTTAAGATTTTGTTAATTTTGGAGAATGCTCCGGGACACCCACCACACCTGGACGACCTGCACTCTGATGTTAAGGTAGTCTACATTCCACCTAACACTACCTCTATCATCTAACCCATGGATCAAGGTGCTATTGCTGCTTTTAAAGCGAATTATTTAGGTACGACCTTCGCTCAGGCTGTTGCTGCTACTGAAGGTGAGAAAACGCTCAGAGAGTTTTGGAAGGACTATAACATTTTGAAATGTATAAAGAACATAACTGCAGCATGGGATGAGGTTACAGGTCAGTGCATGAATGGAATATGGAAGAAAGTCCTGAAAAGATATGTGAACAGTTTCAGAGGATCTAATGAAGATAAAGTAATTTCTGCGATTAGTAACAAGATAGTGGAGTTGGGTAGACAGCTGGATTTAGAAATTGATAATGAAGATGTTGAGCAGTTGGGTGAAAGTATAGCAGAAGAGCTAAGTAATGAGGATCTTATTGAACTGGATGCACAGAAAATTGCAGAGGAAGAAGAGAGTAAAAATGTTGAAGAAGAACCTGCACCCCCCAAGAATTTTTCAGTGAAATAAATGGTAGAGGCATTTGCTACAATTAATAAGGGGATGCAAATGTTTGACGGAATGGATCAAAATGTTGAGCGTTTTGCAAAAGTTGACAGAATGATCCAAGATGCACTTGCTTGCTACAGGGAGATTTACAATGAAAAGAAAAGGCAAACTGTGCAGTCTAAATTGGATATATATTTTAAGAAGTCCCACATTGCTGTCTCCTCACGCCCCACCAGTGCTGCCTCTTCACTCCCTAAAGATGATCCAATACCTTCAACAAGCAAGTTTCCCCTGTATGCTAACCTGTCTGAAGAAAGGGACATTGATGACCCACCCAGCCCTGTCTCCTCCTCTGCTTCATCCAGTTAATGTAGTCTCCATGTATAATTAAAAAATTATGGGGCCCCGTGTGCATTCAGCTGACTACATTAAAGGTAAGTGCACAGTCACACTGTATTCATTCTTCATTATTGATTACTTATACTGTACTGTATTTCATTTTCGATTTTCTATGTATTATTTTTTGAATTTTCGACTTACGACCAATTCAACTTATGACTTGGATTTGGGTCCCTAACCCCGTCTTAAGTCGACGAGCAGCTGTAGTATGTTTAAGGATCGTTTATTGAAAGAGTCTTGTCGATAATTCATTCAGAATCATTATTGTACCAAATTCATCTCACTGACAAAATTAGAACAGATGTGAATAAAAGTTCATACTGTATGCTTTTTTGCTTGCTGTAAGTATTTTCGCTTGTGTCTGCAGCCTAAATGCAATGGGATAGTGTTTGTCTGTGCTTGACGAGATGCGTAGTTTGGACTCTCAGAATTTTTTCCCAGTACAGTACCAGGAAAAATTCTGGCGCCGCTCCGGGGATATGCGTTTTTTTCTAGGGATGAGAAAGTCATCTCATTACTCGGAAATCTCTTCCTCTCAGAAGACCTCTGTACTAATTATTCCAGCTAACGGAGATATCACAGTATAGTCTCTCCTCGACTTATGACATATTCGACTTACAACAACCCAGACATACGACGGCCATGGCCGCATAAAATATTTTTCACTTTATGTATTTTCGAGTTCATACGTTAGTGATCGCTCTGTGTACTGAAATTTTTTTTTTTTGTAATTCCCTTTAAAATGGCTGGCAAGCCTAAGAGTGAGAGTTCTCGTGGTGCTGAGAAGAAAAAAAACACCCATTTTAGAATTTCTATGTACTGTATTTTTTTTCGCCTTTTCGACTTATGACCAATTCGACTTATGACCTGGTCGTCGGGACGGAACCCCGTTGTAAGTCGAGGAGAGACTGTACAGGTATACATTACTGTATATATAGTACTGTATTCCAGACAAATCTGATATCAAAGTACTCCCTCCTTTTCCCCTCACTTTTCAAATTGCATCATATAAGCAGACTCTGATTTGCAAGAGGGTTATGTTCCTGAATAACCTCTTGTAAATGGATGCGTAGTTCCCATAAACCTTCATTATTAAAGCCGAGATATGTTCCTATGAAAAACTAACTAAATAAATAATTCTTCCAAAATATCTTTAAATAATGCTACAAATGTGTTTTTAACAAATATTGTTAGTGAACACAATAATAAACATAATTGAAATACATGCAGTACTGTAATAATTTGTATCTGTACTTAAAGAGGAGATGAATGAAATTTGAAACAAACTAAACAATATAAATGCTAAGCCAACATCTATTATAATTTTATCACCACATTAATACAGTACAGCGACTCCTTTTACATATATCTAGATGTGACAGAAATGAGTCTAACAGGTCTAAAAGGAAATGTAAAGTGCAAAGTGTATAAAAAAAAAAAAAAAAAAAAATTAGCCTACAAGGTAGTTTCCTTATTACAAGTGAACATATTTTTCATGATTTTGGGATTTTCACTCGTAAATCAAAATACGGGAAAAAATAATTAATTGCAAGTTTTTGTAAATTAAATGCTAATAAATCAGTCTGCCAATATTTGTTTATAATCTTTCCAGCAAAACAATGAAAATTTAAAAAAGTAATCACAAGAAAAATGAATGAAGCTAATGCAGTCTACATGCAAAATTATAATTAAACAAATCAAAGCACCCAGCACCCACACCGGTACAATTCCACCTTACCGCTGACTCGCTTACGGTGTCAGGTACGCTTTTCCCATCCAGGCCTGACATGTTACCTCTGTGGTGGCTGCAGAGAGAGTGAGGGAGAGTCAGGATGTGGCCGGTTCAAGTACATGAGCCACAGGTGTGTGTGTGTGTGGACAAGTGTGTGTGTGTGAGGGGGGAGCTGGGGTTGAGTATGGAGTATGAAAAGCTGAGCCAAGGGAGGTTGAAGGCAAAACTGATTCGTGTACAGGTATAGTATTTTGGTAAATATCAATGCAGTTTTAAGGGCAAAGGAGCAAAAGACAAAAAAATGTACACATATAGAAATAAGCAGTTTTTTAACAAGTTAGTCATGTCCTGAGGATTAAAAGGCAGCTATTTGTTTGTATAAAATCAGTGAATGTTTAATGCATACAAAAATATGTACAGTACACTTTATATTATTCCAGTTTTTGTAAATTATTATCCGAGATATTTTTAGATCATAATATGATAACTAATATTTCAAGCAATTATCAGGTATAATAGAATGTAGTATTAAGTGATTACTAATTAACAACACAAAAACTTTTCATGTAAAACCAGAACACAAACAAAAACATACCCATACACACACATTAATGACACAGATGGGATGTATGGTGTACTCTTTCTCTCGCTTATGTGCATTTAAACACATGTACTGTACGATACTGTTATATGTAATCTCAAAACAATACATACAGTTAACCCTCGTGAAATACAAGATGTTCAGTGTACAGTATATAGCTGAAATTTACATGATCATAATATAAACACACTGTAATCTATAGTAAAAGACGTACAGTATATACACAGTACTGTTCAGGTAATAGTAAAAGACAAGGGTCTGGGTTAACGAACTCTTGTGTACACAGTACCATAACGAACAAAATATATCTGCTGAAGAAAACTTACTACAGTACTTACCTCAATACAGCAATAAGTTAAATCGGTGGATGAACTGCACTTTTGTATTTTGTTTTTCCCAATTTTCTGTAAATAAGAAACTGTCATCCACCCACTTGACAAGAACACCATTGTAGACAAATGCTTCACAGTGACTAATTGAATGAATGCTAAGAATCTGAACGTTGTTCAGTCAGTGACCTTGCTATACAAATCTACCTAACCATCCCGAATATACCCAACATGGTTAACCTAACCTAAAATAATATACTGTGCATGTATCCTAGAACTTGCATCATATACTGTACCTGGTCATGTAATTATCTTTGTGCAACAAACAAACATGGTATTGTCCTCATGCAGATGGCAGAGACCATCTTTATTTACCCCAAGAAATAGTGAAAAAACAAACTATGAAGTGCTGGTCCTCCTCTTGATGTACTTTATACTTGAGGTAAGAAGCAAGTTTTCTCTTATATATATTATCCTTTAGGTAGCGAGTTAACCTGGATCCTTGTCCTTTACAATGTACCGTATTACCAATAAAAGTCCAAAAAACCAACTTGTGAGGATTAACTTTAAGAATCTTAGTTCAGCGGAATATTTACGGTAATTAATTGTGAAGTATAATTTCTTCGCATACAAAGCACATAGAGACATGATTTTAGTGTCATAGATCAGTTTTTTGCCACGTTTTAGCCCACAATTTCCCTCATCCTTCATGCCCTGCCCACTACCGGTGATTTATGAACGCATTTAGAGAAAAAAAAAAAAAAAAAAAAAACAATTAAACTAAAATATGTCGTATCAATTTTATTACTGTAGTTAATTTCATCCAAAAAACAACTGTGGAAAACAGCTTCTAAATGAATTCCACAAGTGCCATCTGGTGCTAAACATCTGCCCCACTATTACCTAAATCCAGTCTATGAAAGGAACCTTCCACCCATTATGACAGTAGGAGTAGTAGCGTTGGTGTCTACCAGTAAGTGGGAGTTATAAAAATTATGTTATGCAAAAAGAAATTATTCGTGCCATTTTGACCTTTTGATTAAGTAAGAAAGGATTTATCTTCTATAGTAATATATCTCACAATTGGTAGTTAGGGAGAGCTAGTAAAACAAGTCAGTGATGTAGTCACAACTAGGACCATGAATGAGACCATTTGTTATTTTAGCCTTTATGGATCACCTGAAGACTAGCCCTCAGATCATTTCATGGTGGATAAACTTTAGTCTGGTTAAGCTTGGGGGCAACTCTACAGGTGAGCACTTAGGGGACTAATCTTCAGGTGGTTCATACAGTCTAAGCTTACAAATATTTTCATTTGTGGTTTCAGCCTCAACTTTAACACACACCTATTTGGAAATTGTTCAAAACACACACACACACACAAAAAAAACATCAGAAAACCATAATTTCAACCAAACCTAAACTTAAAAAAAAAATAAAAATCGCTGCATGACAAATATGATAATACCTAAATTAATACCGGGTCCGACTAATTACCCAAATGTAGCCGCAATGAAGTCAAATAATGGTCCTACATGAATAAATCGGGTTACCAATCACTTCTCGACTAGTATTTGGTGTCACAAAGTAAAAAAAAATTGGAAAACGTAATTTAATTTGAGTTAATAGATCGAGTGCATGTACCGAACCTAACCTAACCTCGACTAGTATTTGGTGTCACGAAGTCACAAAAAATTGGTAAACTTAATTTAATCTCCGTTAATAGATCAAGTGCATGTACCTAACCTAACCTAACCTAACCTAACCTAACCTAACCTAA